AAAAAATGCAGAAGTTTTTAGATTAAATAAATTTGAAGGTGTCGATTCAAAAAACTTAACAAATCCAATGTTCCTAAATTTTTAATTACCATTACAAACAAACAATAACAAAATTTGTAATTAAATAATCTAACAATATCCTATGAAAAAAAATATATATTTATTAAATTAATTTTCAATGCGAAAACCTTGAAAAATTCTATTAAAAAAATATTTTATAATTATCAAATAATTCTTTAAAAAAAAATGCCTGATCACGTTGCTTTATCCTGGAAGAAGACACAGTCACGTGCCGAGGTCACAATTCTCACTTCGATTTATGGCTTTGGATCTTCCCTTTTTGTTCCAACTTCTGGATTAACCCGCTGGGCCATTTATCAAACATTTGATATAGCTCCGACGGTTGCACTTATTGAAAATTAATACGGCTTAAGACCCACAATAGTGCAAAAATCAGCACACATGCAGAATTCCGCGCGGTCACCACCCTCTGAGGCTCCTCCCCCCCTCACACATTAATCCCGCGAACAAGGCATTAGGCAGGGAACAGGGAACAGGCAACCCGGGAACTGGACAAACATCTGTCCTGGATAAGGACATGGTGGCATGGCAAAGGGATTAAATAACAATAAGCGTTAAACAAAATTAAAAATCAGAAATCGATGTGGTTTAGTTTCCTTCAACGAATGCATTCTACTTCCGTTTAATAGAGAAAAATTACTTTTCAATAGCAACAAAGAGCAATCAAGTTAATAATGTGTACACAGATTTTTTTTTTCCGGTGGCTCCGTGGGTAATTTGATTAGAATTCTTATACAGGGAATAATTTAACTACTTTGAGGAATGCGGGTAGCTTTAGAAAGTCGAATAAAGCATACTCTTTGAGAGAAGGAAAATGTAAATAATAATATACAAGATTCTTGAAATTAAACAAACAAAAAAATATATATATGTCGGCGAGTTGGTTGCTAAGTGCAAATTTGGAAAGCTTGTTGCTATGGCAACAGAGTTATTCGGCATGCTCAGGTATTGGTAGCCCTGTAGGTGTCGCTGGCGCGCAGGCGCAATGACAGTTGAGTCGGTAACAGGAGTGTTACTGAGTGAGGTCTGTTCGTCTGTCGCAACAATAGGAGAGAATGAGAGAGACAGCTTGAGATTGTCTAGGAATGACATCTGAGTGAAAAGTAAGAAAAGGTGAAAGGGCCACAGGAAAAGTGGCGTGATGACAGATTCGATTTGACTGCGCAGGCGAACAGAACTCGCTGGCTCGACTACGGTTAAATTAAATAACGGATATCTCCGACATCAGAAGTGGGATTCACCATAGCCTCGCGGGCATTCTGATAAAGTGATTTTCGGTCGATACTAAATTCAGTGGCGCATCGAAGGCTTGCGCAGCCGCGTGGTGCGAGACACCGGAGTCGTGATAGGCAGTCAAATGCACTGGTCGCGTGTTGAGCCGGACGGTTGCAAGTGTCATCAGTGTCGGCCAGAAAATTTGGGGAAGAATGGAAGACAACAACAACAGCACACTGGCGGAACTGCGGCTGAAGTGCGGAGAGCTGGAGTGACGCACTTCAGGCGTGAGAACGGTGGTCACATTGCATCTGTGTGCACGAGATGGGTATCAGCGGCTGCGAGCGGCAGCGGCAGCTGCATGTAGAAGCGAGTTGATTTGTGTGATTCAACAGTGACAGTATCGGGTGAGCCCTTTCCAATTATTCTTTGATTTGGGAGCTAAATTGGCTAAAATATGGGAATAGAGATGTGTTTGATTGCAGTGTTGTTTGCCCATCTGCCTTCCCATTGGCGAGCCCTGTGCTACGATAGGTTGTGCTTAGACTATCGGAAGCAATATTCGAAAATGGTTTCGGACAGTGGCCTTTGCCGCTTATGTCAGACCCTGTGAAGGAAAAATGTTTCTGTTGAAAAATAATTAATTAAAATTACGAGTTGCCGTCTGTTTGGTCTGCCGTGCCGTTTGGTTTGAAGAGTGCATCTTCTACCTTCATCATGCAATTGTTAAGGCGTTTGGAATTTATCATGATTATTTGCGATAGTTTACATAGATGACGTGTTAATCATGGCAAACTCGGAAGAAAAGGCTTTCCGAAGGCTGAAGGTTGTATTAAATGTGTTGACTGTACCAGGGTTGCCATTTAACGTTACCAAATGTGGGTTTCTTGAACCTACTACGCAGTATCTGAGCTATGAGGTGTGCGGTGGAGAAATCAAACCCAATTCCTAGAAAATCCTTACGTTAAAGGTCCGTCCTTTTAATCGGTGCAATTAAGAGACCGTCGTAAGACCATTTATTGAATTGGTGCCTTGTTTTCAAAAACGTGTGCCTCGATTTTCTCAGATCATGAGACAGATTCTTCGGCTTCAAGTATCTTTAAGTGAAATGACGATATTCAGAAATTGGAACGAACGTTTTTAATATTATTACAAATGAGCCTGTAATCGTTATTTGTTGGTTCGAAACATCTGATCAAATTTGAAACAGATATAAGCTCTTGTGGATATGGTCCAATGCTAATACACCTAATTAATGGAGACCCTTATGTTGGTGGATATATTGGTAGAACTATGTGTCTTGTGGAGTCCAAGTAGCCTTTGTATGAATTGGAAATATTGGTTGGCGTGCAATTATTCTGACATTTTTGGCATTGTTTGCTCAGATGAGAGTTTGTAGTCTATACTTATTGCAGATGTAATCATTTCTAAACAAAAAAAAAATTAACTGAAGTGCATCATAGAGTAGAGGAAGAGAAAGCGCAAGGCAATTGTGGAATTCTTTTTGTGTCCAGAATTCACATGACTGATTTAACTCCGATAAATAAAAATAAATTGACAGAAAAACGTCTGAACTTAGAATGGAAATCTCAAATGACCGACTGATCAACTTCAGGATTTATTGGTATAGTTTATAAACAACTACAAATAATTGAAATTAACTTGAGTTACGAAGAGGGATTTTAAAGAATACAGAGAGGTGTGAGGCAATGTTATCTGCCAGTAGTGTCCCTTAAATTTTGTTGGATAGTTATTAATCAAGGTTATAAATCCGTTATGTGTTTGGGTTGGAAAAAATAGACTCAGCAATATTTATCAGAATTGTTGGAAATGACTAAGTTTAAAGATTGTTGAAAATTGTATCATGTGTAAAGTTGTAAAGTAGTCATCTGGCTGGATACCAGGACCGCAGAGGTGATGGGAAGATGCTCTTGGCGGGGTGCAACTTGCGGCGAACTGCACAGTTAGTAGTGCAACCAATGCAAGCCCTTAAGAGATGCCAATCGGACCCACCCTTTGGGCTTGATACCACCACATGACACAGAGAAAAGTATAAAGAAAGAGAAATTTAAAGCTACGTTATGCTGGTTCGGAAAAGCACTAGTTTTGATAAGGCAAGATTAATTTAAAATGAAAAATGAAAATGGAAAATATGTTAAGAATGAGAGAGAAAGGAGAAAGAAATGAAGATGAAAAATGAAAATGAAGATCGGCACCAAACAGAGTTTATAGAAAAGCTTGATGGTGGCTGATATGTTTTGAGATATCTGTCAAGTAAGCGAACTTTTATAAGTATGCGCATGAGTTTTTGAGGGCATAGCCAAATAGACAAAATAAGCAATGACGTTGATTGATTAAAGATTAAAGTTGATTAAAGATTTAGACGACTCAAGTGGAGATGCGTCTGATTCCCATGTGGGGAATGATGATATGGATGGCACGGTTGATGCCTTGGAATCCCAAGAGGGGATATAATGACCGCACCATAACAGAAGGAATTGTTATGGCGGGGGTCAGTGGAGACCGCACCAAAACAGAAGGAATTGTTATGGCGGGGGTCAGTGGAGCCCGCACCATAACAGAAGGAATTGTTATGGCGGGGGTCAGTATGTGGGTGTAAAAGGAAATACACCAGTTGATAAAGCTATGTAATTAGAGAAGTCTGAATTGTAAATTGTGATTAAAATGAAGATGTAATTTGTTATGTTATCATGAAACCAAGATGCTTATTTTGTCTAAATTCCTCAATACTTATGTTTAGAAAATTAATGAAATGTTTGTTGACAATAAAATGTAACGAGTACCGAAATTTTAGAATACTGTGATTTAAAGTTAACACACGAGGACGTGTGATTTGTCAGGAAGGCCGTGTCGGATCACATGAAACGGGGCCTACTTTATTCCTATGGTCAGAATATGTGAAGCGGAGCCTTTTGAAATACGAAAAGAGCTTGTACTCTATGGTTTCGAAAGGTTATCCTGCCAAACTAACATTTGAAGACACTAGAAGTGTAAGCGAGAGATCGCCGACTGAGGCACTCGTTGGTGGAATCATTTATAAGGCTGTGAGGGTCCAGAGAGACCGTGACGCAAGAGGTGCGTGTGAGCGTTGCAAAGTGTGCAGCAAGAGCCTGTATAAATTGATGAAGAGATGTTGAGTAAGAGTTGTGGTACGAGCAGAGAAAGAAGATACAGATTTGGTACGAGAAGAGAATGAAGTGGCGAGAAGAAATAAAAGTAAAGCTTATTTGACATGAATAAAACAGATAAAATGAAATGTTAAGTTGAGACCAAAGAGAGAAAAAAAGAGAATGATAAATGACAGTTATGTTTAGAGCTATTAGAAGACACGTCACGCGAGGACGCGTGAATTGTCAGGATGGCCGTGTCGGCGAGTTGGTTGCTAAGTGCAAATTTGGAAAGCTTGTTGCTATGGCAACAGAGTTATTCGGCATGCTCAGGTATTGGTAGCCCTGTAGGTGTCGCTGGCGCGCAGGCGCAATGACAGTTGAGTCGGTAACAGGAGTGTTACTGAGTGAGGTCTGTTCGTCTGTCGCAACAATAGGAGAGAATGAGAGAGACAGCTTGAGATTGTCTAGGAATGACATCTGAGTGAAAAGTAAGAAAAGGTGAAAGGGCCACAGGAAAAGTGGCGTGATGACAGATTCGATTTGACTGCGCAGGCGAACAGAACTCGCTGGCTCGACTACGGTTAAATTAAATAACGGATATCTCCGACATATACATAGATCATTTCAAATAAAAATGTATAGATCATAACAATAATAGACAAGTTGTTGTATTAATTTAGAATCCCAGAAGTTTTTGTACTCCGTGAGCCTGTATTATCCCTTAAAAAACTCCAAATATATTCAGTAAAAAATACAATTTCATTTTTTTAGGCAACTTTTCATGTGATTTTAAACGCCTGAAAATATATAATAGCTTTTAAAAACTACTATTATGGGAAATCTTGTAAATTTCTCAACAAACCTCAGTGATTGCCTCAATTATACCCCCTATTTTGAAATTATTGGGTGTCAATCCAAGGCCCTAACAATTGATTTAACCCTTTGCCATCAATATTCAATTACGCCACATAGCAATATATAAATTTTCATAAACTGCAGCTGATTGAAACATACACTTGAAATACTCGTATACGTTCAGTGGTGAAGTGAAGTGCCCTCATCATATAGTTGGGCCGAGTTCAACCTCCCTTCCCGCCCGAATCTTATGTAATGTGTCACTTGGTAGTTTCCCTTCTCAAGTAGATTAAGTTTGGCGATAAAGTATCATTGAATCATCGAGTTTTGTGCTTTTTGTTGGGTCGTTAAAAGGCATCCATCGACAGCAGTTCCCCCTAGTTGCTAGTGACTTTTAGTAATTTTCCTGGACAACAAAAGACCTAAGAGAGCACCCTCATCGCATTACAATGCAACTGTTCGGTATGGTAATGGTTTTTAGAGCCCCCTCACCAGCATTGGAGATATCAAAGTTCTTGGCATTTCAATTGGTTTTCCCATAAATCTCAGCCTGAACTTTGCCCAAGGCATGGGAAATGTTGAGCCTAACTAGAGATGATGATCCTTTTGGTCCTTGTTCGTTTAATTACTGCTGGGAAATGGAAAAAGGAAGAAAAAGGAAAACCGGAAGGTTGAGAAATCACAAAATAAAGAAATGAAAAGCAGCAGGAAAAGAGAAAGGCTGGCCTCGCAGGCCCATAAATAACCAACCAAAACCTTGTTAAAGGTGCGAATGTTGGAAGGGAGGGTTCGAGTTTTTCATAGAACGTGCCAAGATCAGAAGGCAGCTGACTGCTCCTGGCCGTCTCGTGAACCCAAGTTCAATGCACTCTCTCTGTCTCCTTCGCCTCGCTTTGGCTGTAATGACAAACCAATTACCAGCTAAAAGACCTGGACTTGAACGTGGACTTGGTTCACGACACGCACGATTTCCAGAGGAGTCCAGACTCCAGATGCAACTTAAAAAAAAAAGCAGGCAACGGCTTGATTGCGCAACAAATTGGACAAACGACGCATGTCACCCCTTTTTGGGATGGAAAACAGTTAGAGCCATACATATTTGCGACAGTGACAAATGTTCGAAATCCAAGTGACGAGGACATATGCTGTTGTTTATGCGTGGTTATACAGAAGGCATCTAATATCGATTTTAAAAAATCAAGAGAAATAGCAAGTGGATAAGTTTTCTTAGATGTTTTGCAGCACTCTTATCCTAAAATTTCATAATAATTCCTATTAAAATTCATAAAATCGAAATAAATAACTAAAAATAAGAATTCTAAAATAGTTTGAAACATTAAAATTATTTTTCAGAAGGAGGAAATTTATTAAGAAGAATTCTATTATGCTAAACTATAGAACTTCATGAATATACAACGCATAAACCTTGTGATTAATTGCTTGCGCTACTGTACCCAGTTTGGATTTCATGCAATCCACCACCAAAATCAGCAGGGAAGCTGTGCGGAGAGATGACAACCCTGGCTAGAGCGCGGCGCCTGCGCAGCTGTCCCGATCTAGGGGGCACCTCATATATGATATAATAACCCCCTACTTCCAAAGACGAGAGTTTCCAAATACGTCGCCGCTTTGTCTCAAAAATTTCACGCAATCGCAGTGAGCGTGCCTGTGTTTGTAACTGCTTATTGATCGATCGCCTCGATATCGAATCTTTTTATTGTTGTTTGTCATTGCAAATGCGCCACCATTGGAACAACCGAAGAAGGGATAAAAGATGGTCCCTTGTACGAGGGTTCCAAAAGGGATTCCGCGTCCGGGGGTTGTTGCTTCACTCTAGTTCGTCCAACGACAAATGCAATTGCAGTTTTACTGTTACCACTGCCAGGAGGAGGGTTATTTCTCCCCTGCGTGCCATGTCAGGCTACCATATAACCACCCTTAGTGTTCCCCGATTATCATAGCCTGGGAACAACAACGCTTTTGGGAGTAGAGAATCGCGCTCTTAACTCGGATTCGGATTTCGCTTTTATTTTTATTTTTTTCAAGCAGGGTCTTTGGTTTCAGTGTTGGTTGCATATCTTCCCACCATTGGGTGTTGGTTCCCTTATTTGTATATTTTCATTTGGAACTAGGAATCAAGTTCATTTCATTGATTTTATGCATATTGCTCGCACTTAACTGTTATTGTAGCATAACTGCAGTTTTTGTTTTGCCGATTTATGGGATTTTCGGGGGATTTAAGAGATCAGATAAGGGAAAATTGTATTGCAATATTGAAAAGGAAATAGGAATATTCTGCCTAAAGCATTACTTATATCATTAATATATCCAAAATTCGCCTGAATAAGAAATAGGAAAGGTGATTGGTTTAATCTAAATCTACTTGCTTTTTGCCAAAATGATCCCAATATTAGTATAAAGTTCTTGTTCTTACTAAACTAATAACTAATATAATTATACATCCTAATTAATAAAAGGAGGCAACTATAAAAAATCCCCACAAATTACTAACAAAATCACTTGCAAGTAGTTTAGCAACAAATAATTAGTACTCAATGAGCTGGCATTAGCAGAAAGTCCCCTTTCAAGTATTTTATGGGCCATTAAAAGAATTGCATCGATACCATTTCGATGATATCCCTCCCCAAAGTAAGTGCAAAACATTTGCCGATCATGTTTGCCCATTGAGATAAACGATCGCTCATTTGTAGCTATCAGAAGGAATTCAGGCCCAGCTCGTTATCACCCGCCAGTGATCTCACGCACCTTGACCACCACCACTGCTGACCAGTGGCCATGGTCCAGGGATCTTTCTCTCCTTATGGACTGTAACTCCTAAGCACCGTCGACATGCAATGGTTAATTGTTTTTCCGTTGCCGCATTTATGAGCCCAGTTACCGCCTACTGGGCCACAGCCGGGGCGGCGGCTAGTGTTAATTTATGGCGCACCTAGTACTAGTATACATGTATATAGTCCACACCTCGGGCCATATACATATATCACAATGATGTATCGTTAGAACCCAGCAACACATATCACACTTTTGCAGCTGCCCCGAAAGCCGTAAACCCGAACCCGAAGCTTTGTTTATATAACACGTACAGGCTACGGCTGGGAGGCCTGGAGAGCCGGCTCTATTGTCGTCATTGTAGTCACATTATTAGATTCGCATCGCTGGCCATATTAATTGTTGCTAGCCAAGTCGGGGCTTGCTGCAGCAAACGGAATGGTTCATTGAGCAGGGCGACAGAATGCAAGCTATAGTACCGCTGTAATGATCGTGCGCTGTCGTCATTCTGACTGTCAGGAGCGGATTGGAGGGGAGTTTGAGAGGTTTTACATGAGTTTCATCAGTCTTTTTGGGCCAAGAAACATTACTTTTTGGGTAGACAAAGTGCAACTAGGCTTGTAAAACGAAAGCGAAGCTATGTAATGCAAGAATCTAAATAGCAGCAAGTATTATTAAAATCTAAAGAAAAACTATACCTCATTTAATTTAAATTGTCTTCTACAAAACCCTTTAAATCCCGCCCTGTTCTATGTTTTAGTTGTCTGTCAAATTTGGTCAGTTGACAGTTCTTTCTGGCCCGACGCTTTCCAGTTCTTGACGGGCTTTATGGCCGGAAACTCTAATTGTTGAGTGTGTTTAAGGTTGAGGTTGAAATATTCCCCACATTTGCACTCACCTAGAAGAGAATTAAGTTTTATTGGTCATTTGCGACAGGAACACTTAATTCTTATGGCTTACCTGTACTTTAAACCAATGCAACTGCAGTTACGGAGAGTGGATTTCTCTCTCTGGAAGCTCTGGGAGCAAAGGAGCAGGAGCCGAGGAGCACTGGAAACCGGCTGACAAACAAACAGACAAACAGAAAATTCCAGCAAGGATCGACAACCTGCGCAGGCAAGCTGGCAGGCAGGGTGGCTGTGTGCGGTGGTTGGTATCGATTTTTAGTGGCAATTGCAGTTGCCACTGGCAATCGGTGCGACGTCCCATGCCATTGGGGTAGTCTCAAGTTCGTCTGCCAATTATTTGCCGCTTATTAGGAGTACCCTGGAATATGGCAGTACGGCGAATGGACTTCGGAACGGGCAGCACGTGACTTGTTCTTCCGTCGCAGCCTTGGCCATTGTTTGCATTTGCATTCGCCGGGAATAAGGGGTGGCATGTCTTTGACATGAAGCCTGGAAACAGTAGAGGTCAAGGAAATACATATTCATTTAGAAATACAAAAGAAATATAACAATTTTAATGAACAAATAAATACTTACATGTTTTTAGAGATTTGTTTTAAACATATTCCTGATGCCCTGGTACTAATCATCTGACCACAGCTGTTTGTAGACACAACTCAAGTGTTGCCTTAATGTTTGGCCATTTGCATGAAGTGGGAAGTGGGCAAGTGTCAGGGGATGTGCAAGGAGAACTAAGCCAACCCTCGTGGGGTAAATCACTGCCAGCCACCACCCACTGCCGACGGCCGCCCACTGGGAAGCGACGCCACTGACCAGCCGGATTGTTAAGCTCCTTTTGTTTTTTATGGGCCGGTCGGCGGTGGGCCCAAAGTAAACCGGTTCTTAATCCTTTCAAACGAAAAACGCAAAGCCAACTGCGGTCGTCAGCGAAATTGGCAAAGGGAAAATGCAGGCAAAAAATTGGGGTTGTGCCGAGCCGTCATAAACATTGCATTTCCCCCGGATAAACCCCTTAAAACTGGACAATTTTCACGCACTTTAACAGAAGAAAAAAACACGAATATGTAGGTAAGAAGAAGAAAAAATGCAGCCCCGGGTGCACACTTCTCGGTTTGCCCTAAATTTTACTCTTTTTGATCTAACTAACGTTTCCGGAAGGTTATTAACAACCTCATTGACTGTTTTATCAACAATTTGTATGTTTTAAATGTTTGCAACAGCACAAATCTTTAATTAAACTTTTTAAGAACCACGCTTTCACTTCGTTTAACAAAAACTAATTTTGGAAATTTACCAACACTGAAAATACCAATGCAAGTACACACTAGCCATCCCGCTCTAACTTAAAGTCCTTCTCTTCTTCTTCTCTTTGCTCATTCCTTCTTCCTCCTCGTTCGGTTAACTTGATCGGAAAAGTTCGCAGCTTCGAAAATATAAAAAGATTTGATTTAAATTGTGTGTGACTGATAAAGTGTAATATTGATATTACTAGCAAACTGTGGCATACATAAAGTAAACGTAATATTAACGTTTATTAAACGAAAAAAGACCAAGTGTGTGTGTGTGTATGGGAGCGCCGTTTGGAGTTCTGCTTCAAAAGCCACATAAAAATGTGAAGAAAATGCTATGTAAGTGGTAATTTACTTTATTTAATATATGATTAACATTAATAAAATAAAAAAACCTTAGAACACTTAAGAAATTAATCATTTAAATAGAATTTTGCAAAAAAACGTGTGTACATTTGTGTGCGTGTGAAAAAAAGCTGCAAATACATAAGTGCATTGGTATTTGTATGTGGATCGTATTCCTTTTGTCTCTTTTAGGCATGGTCCTGCTTTAAATGAAGTTTATTTTTTATAAAAGTCGTTTTTGCGTTGGCCGGTAAAAGTATAAATAAATACATGGCTTGTTTGTCTGCAATTTGCTTAAAATTAATATCAATAAATTAAAGTTTGTTTTTGTCCCGACTTTTCCAAGTCAAGTCTTTGTGTGTGTGTTTGCGTGGGTAGAAGAAATGGGCAAAGGGAAAAGAAGCTAAAGAAAAAAGTACGCTGAAAAACAATTTTCATAAATAATGAAGTTAATCAAGCCAACGCACTGCAATTTTCATTTTGTAAATAAAACAAAAGTAAGAACCAATTGAGCAGGTTGCGGCTGACGTCAAGGAATTAGGGGGGAAATATCACCCCAAAAGGGCTTCTTTTCTCTCATTTTCTTCACGGTTCCGTGGCCACGAAAAAAAGCGATTGCCGCCGACTGTCGAGACTGTCAGAAATCAATGCATTTATCCTCGTCGGCAACAAAAGCAAACAATTTGCGCTTTGTTATTGTTCTTCTCGTTGTTATTGTTGTTGTTTATTTGTTGTTTTGCAACTGAAACTGCAACCGTCTCTTTCGCAGATCAAGTTAACATGTTTCCGTCTCCCTTTCACATTTGGGGTAACATGTGTAAACAGTAAAGAACACTAGTGGTCAAATTAATAGAGGTTTTAAAATACAAATAAAGTTTATAAAATTCCTTTTTATTTTGTAAATATGGCTACCAAAAAATGTAGAATGGTTATTTAAACAGGGGGAAATGTGTTTTAAAATTCAAGTAATTCTAGTTAAACACAAATAATTCTTGTATTAAATTCAATAAAGTCGAATTAGCAAAGCAAACTCATTTTGTATTTATTTGTTATTTATTAAATTTCCATTAATCCTATTATTTGTTCCCCATTTATACTTGGAATTTTGGGCGCCTGCAAGCTCCCACGGGGATGCAATGTCAGTGGGAACAACAATGGCAAAATAAGAACAACAGTGCGAAACGAGGAAGTAATAAAAACAAAAGTAACTGTGCCGGGTGGAAAGGCGGTGAAAAATGTTTGGAAAAAGCGAATTTACGGCCCCCTTAGGGACACGCCCATTGCCATTACCAAATGTTATTGCATCAAAATGACTGGCGCTTTATTTCCGTTATATTTGTCTGTTGCCGCGGCAACCCTGGTTGGTTGCACCAAAAGCAACAACACAGCAACCCTGGTGCAATCACTTTAATTAAGTTACCTGGACTTGAGAAGCGAGCAGCAGACATTCCCATTTCAATTCCATCAACAACTTACCTTCCCTATGTAGTCTACAAAATTAACTCTTCCGAGAATCAGATTTCATGCCCCCTGTAATAAAAAAACAACACTCTTTGGTAACTTCTCTATCCCTCCGGGGTTTTGTTGGGGGATATCTAGGAGCTGCGGGGGACGATGACGAGCGTAAAACACTCAAAACAGCCAGAGTTGAAGATCTATTGTTGTCCGTACAGTGATTACTGCATATTAGGAATCGCCTATCAAGAATATACTATAATACATGAATCATGGATGATTTTTAATGCACGAAATTTTTTATTTTAATTTAATGGAAAAATTCAGTTTCTTTTACTAAAATCTGAAAACAAAAGTGCGGTCATCAAATTTCTATAGAATTCAAGATATCAGTCAAATCTTTTTATGAGCCATTACTGTACTGCAATTTCCTTGTTATTTTTTAGTTTCTTGTATTTTTTTTATGTCTTATTACGGTTGATTCTAGTTTTTTATGTAGCTGCCGACTGGGCTCTCTAACATTGCAATTCACTTGAGTTTTCTTTTTCGTTGCCGGATTGTGTCTACTTTCATTGCAGCAGAAACATCAGCAGCAGCAGCAACCGGCCTAAAGAAGAGGCAGAAGCAGAACAATGATAATAATAAAAGCCGTCCCTGGACTTTAACAAACGAATGCACTCAAGCGGCGCAACTGTTGCTTTATGTACTTGGAAAAAAATATAAAATTTTCTCTAGGAGATTCTATATATAAAAACCAACACTTTTTTAACTAAAATTTTCAGAATCCACGCTTATAATTGTCATATTTTAATGTAATAGTCTTGCATGAATTTCTCTATTTCTAAGTAGAATGTTATAATTGTACTTTAAAAGTTCGATAAACACTATTTTGATCGGTGTACATCCAGGTTTGAGGCCTTTCCCTCGTCATCATAGATGGTGTTGCCTTGTATATCGCTGCAGTCGTTGCTTTTGTTCATCTTTCTATCTGTCGGCCTCGTATCTGTATGTTATGGACTTCCAAGTTAATTGTAAAAACTGCACTCCGCTCTCAGTTCGTTACTATCGCTCTTTGGGGTAGATGGAAAGAGGAGAATACAAGCTTAATGAAGTTTTATGCGTTTCTAATGCTCAGCCAATTTGTTTTGATATTGTTTTTTTCTATGCTGCTCCTCCTACCTCACTACGATGATATTTCAATTGTGATAGATTTATTTGTTTAAGATTTTTAAGTGGATAAGGCGGGGAAATTAAGAAAAATAAAGGTTAATTAAAGTGGGTAGATAATAAAGAAACTAAAATATATAAGCTACTGAAGCTATCTGATTCTGGTTTATTATTTTATGATCGTTTTATGAGTGGTTCTTCCCAGGTTCCTTGATTTTTAAATAAGCCAGATTTCCTCTTAACGACTTTACAAGTAATAAAATTGTTTATGGTTGGTAAAATACAATTATCTATATATCACTTTGATGTGTAATTAGATATATGTTTATTGAACCATTTAAAATGAAAATTCCCCCTTTTTTCCTCCTCACCGTTCTCTTTTTAATTCCCTATTATCCAAGGAGCTAGTGCTAATCAAATTATGTCCCATCCAATTGGCCAGATGATGTCAAGAGCATGGTACTCAATTTCCCCCTCCGATATGTGTCATTTTGCATTTGAAACTATTTTTATACGAGCATATTTACCAGATTCGCTCGCGTGTGTTGCTGGCCCCCCTTTTTTGTACCCCTTTTTCTCGCGTGTCAGCGTTTGTCAACTCACTCTTCATCAGGGGCTGTTGCTTCTTCCAGAAAAAAAACAGAAGAAAAAAAAAAAACAGAGACAGGTCTGGAACATAACTTCATTTAATTACTGGCAACAACAAACTGCGGCGACAACAAGAATTCTCTGTGTCATAAAAAATTATATTACGCTTTTAGCTTGGAAAAATCAAAGTCTAGTAAAGAAGATCGCAGTATTTAATACCCTAAGAAACCATTATAAATTACAAATCCTAAGAAAACAATTAAATCTGAATTTAATTTGGTGTATCTTATCGGCTGGTACACCTCAATTTTAAAACTAAATTAGGACTTCAGGGCTGAGCTCCCTAAAAACATTAATAATTTAATATAAAAAGTCTCAAACATAATTATAAATTGCTAAGCTTATCTAGGTAAAGTAACTATATTTTAATTATATTTTTAAAATAAAGAGTAACGCGTAAAAAAGAAGATAGATTAAGATGTCGTGTGGCAAAGGAAGTGGGGTCATTGGAGTAATAGTAAGTTTGTAGAAAAAATAAGAAGGGGAATGGTTACAGTGTACAACTCGTTTTCGCTTGGCCACAATTTTGTTGTGCTTTTTTTTTCAACATTATAATTTCGCTTTGAATTACACACATTGCACAAACAGAACTCGAGTGAGCCAAGTTCATTGACTGCTGGCAACCAGAGAGCCTCGACAATAACCAGAACCCAACTACATACAACAATAGAGTCGAAAACTACACACATGCTCTCGTCGTATATAATGATTGCAACAAGTTTGCATAAAGCCAACGCGCTGATTATTTTAGCACTTATTAAATTTTAGCACAACGGCCAGCCGTTCCAACGCAAGTGGCAGCCATTGCCGCCTCATAATTATCATCGCCATAATCATGATCATCTCGATCTGGCGATCGAACAAACAGCAGCTGCATTCGCCTCTGTTTTTGCTTAGCTTCTGATTTTTTTTTCCAGCCACAAAAGCAACAACTCGGGGGCTCCTCGATCAAGTCAATTGCTGCCATTGGACTTGCAACAGAAGAGGAGATCCCCCATCAGTTGATAGAGATGAGGTGGGATTCTAAGATGGTCACGGATTATCAAGAAGTTGGTTACAAAAAATTATTGGAATAGCCACATATTTATAGATATTTATTATATAATTTATATGTACTAACCTGTAACCTTTTTTTTATGGGAAATATTTTAAAAGTTTCTAATTATTATAAAATCCTTTAATTTGATACAAAAGTAATCAAAAAATATTTCTTTTTTAACCATTTTTAAGTCTTCTAAAAGTGACTGAGATCGGTCATCTCTAACTTGGTTGTTCATATGCAAAACTCAGAGCCGTCGTCTCGTCTCGTTTCTTCGGCTGTCTGTCCACTTGTCCGTCCGTTCGTTGTCCAAATGTCCGGACAATGCCCGCCAACTATTTTACACGCCATTGAATTACACAAGTGGGGGGAAACTCGGAGGAAGTGCAGCAGCAGATCCCAGTGGTGGAGAGTATGCTACCAAGTGCTGGTCAACATGTGATGAAAATGTTCCTCGTGGCATCGGCAGTTGGGATGCAGTTTGGGTGCAGTTTGTAGGTGATTCGAGCAGCTCTCCCGCACTGCTGAATCGAACGATCCCGCGAGATGGTTTCTGCAGATGGTTTTTGGCTCTACTGGAGGAGGGTCTTTGCTGCCTCTCACTATCCCATTGATTGTGGGATTAAGACAGTTCCTGTTCCAATTGCTGGTTGTTGTGCGATCCCTCCCATTTCCAATCTCCCATTGAGAGGACACCTAGGGAAATATTGAATACTTTTTAAAATTAATTACAAATATTTGAATTAATTTATTTTTGAAGCAGTTGGTTTTTATTTTAATATAAAATATAATATTTCGTTTAATTTAATTTCAATTATTTTCTAGTTTTTCCACTTTATTGATTTACTTTTATTTTTTTGAGTGCATCCCCATCACATCCCGTGTGTTGTCCTATTGTGGCTCGTTTCCTGCTCTTGCAGCTCTTTGTCTGCGCTATTCTGTTGCCATCCTCCTGCCCTCCATCGGTGCTGCTGCTTCTGATTCTGCTCCAGCATTTGTGTCTGGCCCCGTTTCCTTTCACAGGCTGCGTTGCGTTGGCAACATCATCATTACCTGGCCGCAAAAAATAAAAAGCGAGCAACGGCAGCAACAGCAACAAAACTGAACCATTTTTCAGCTTTTTTCCGTTGAGTTCATTCAACTGGCGCCGCCTGCTGAGATTTCTTCCTCCTTCAGCCGGGCAAACTTTTGTGTGTTGACAACTTACAGCATAAAAAAGAAAACCAAGTTAGGGCCCACCAACCCCACCGGCATCAGGAACCGCCGCTCTCCAGTTGATGGATGCAACTGTTGCAACTGTTTTGCTGGATAATCCTCCATTAAAAAGTAGCAACAAAAAAACGAAGATGAAGAAATTAGAGGGAGTAAAGTGACTGTCTATGTTCCCTAACTTTTATACTATAAATTCCTTACTATGAAAAGAATTTTAATATTTAACAGAAGGATTAAAAATCGTCCCTGCTTAGTTTCTTAAAATTATTTTATATTTTTTCAAGCTGTTCCAAACCTTCTATAATATAAAGTAGACTCCAAACTCTAACTCTAACGAAACGAAGAAAATAAAGAAAATATATGTTGCCTGGTGGCTTTGGCCTGGGGTGAAAATCGTGAGTGGCGGAGGAGCTTTCGAAAATGTGCCACGTTGCACTTGTTACTTTACTCCCCGCCGATTCTGAGCGGAGAGCAATCGTGTTTACCGTTTGCTGTTGCAGCCTCAAGATAATTTTTCCTTCTTCTTCTTTTGTTGGTGAAAACTGTGAAAAGCCCGGGAAAATCAAAGGAGAAGGAGGAAGCTGGAGCAGCCAGCTGCACCGCTCCGCCATCATCATCATCTACTTGTTGGTGCTTATGGTTTATGTAGGAAACGTGCTGAGTGCCAGCGTGGAAATCTTTAAAAATTGCTCATTGTTCTTTCCTTCACTGTCTCTGTGTGTGTGTGTGTGTGGAAAATGCAATTTAATTGCATTCTGCGAGGGATCGTACGTGGTATAAATATTATCAGCACCTTGCCATCCTCTAGAGTCTGAAGTCTGGAGTCTGGAGTCAATCAATTAGGTCTAGATCGCGCCGGAGCTTGTGTAATTGAAATGCCAGATGCCTGAGTCGACTCTGATGACCATGGCCATGACCAGGGATCAGATCAGGATTCAGTTCTAGCATTCTACTCAAAGGTAATTGGAATTGCCCTGTGATTTGTGATATATTCCACGTTGCTATTGTGCTGTGCAGGCATCTCAAATGTTTTAATTTTCTGCAGAACTTTAATAATTCCCATGCACTCAAGGCATTGGTCATTGACATTTGAGTTAAATGGAGACTTTGAGGAGGTCAAAGCTGGTTGATTCTGGTTGAAAAGGGAGCCAAGGAAGTGTACTTTAATGATATATTAAAAGCTTTTTTTTATACCAATCCCAACCCTATTTTATAAATTCTTCATCTACTTTAGTATTCTACTCCTTGCCTCTTCATATTCATTAATTTCAATTTCAAACTCGAAGCTAAATCGATTTTCTTTGGGGATTGTCACTTTACTGCTTCCGATTCCCATCTAATCTCCAAATACTTCCCCCAACTTTATAAATCATTTGTCATTGTGGGCATTTTTATGCCATTTGCCAAATAATTTGGCCACCCTCGGCAGTCGCAAATTATAAATGTATGTATGCTCTGTTGTCTTCCCCCCCAAAAAAGGAAAACAAAAGGGAACTATATGTCTATTATTCAAAAACTCTGCATGAACACAGACCATTAAAACCAAAAGTGTAAACCAAACAAGTTGAAACAACGAAAGAATTGCGAACGCAATAAATTTATTTACAATTCACGCACGACAACGCCACGAATCAGCCGCTATATCTCATCCTCGTTCCCCTGGATCTCTGTTTCCAATTTGCATATTCATGGAACTCGATACCAACACCCCTGAGCGCAAAAAATTTGAATTCAAATTTGAATTTTTATTTCATTTTTTTCCCTTTTCGGGTGGAGGAGGAAGGAAGAGCACGTGCTGGGGCTGGCTTGTAATGACGTCATTAAGTGTTTGGAGCTACCTACCAAACTGTAGCCAAAGTCGATCCCCAGCCGCTTTCCTAATCCATTTACACAGGAAAAATGTTTAAGAATTCTTTGAAAAATATATGAATTTTATACAAAATTTATTGATGCTTTAAAAAATTATTTAAGATATAGTTGGAACAATAAACGAGATAGATTTTTAAGAGGTGGAAAAACCTCTTTAAACTGAATAGAATATATGATTTAAAATTTTAAATCGTTTAAAAACTTTTTCATTTTTATTATTATATTTTATTATTATTTGTTTATTATTTTTTTTATTTTAAACCCTTTATTTTTATTTCTGTGCAGCTACCATTCTCTTCCTTACGGCCACGATCATTAATTCAAACGATGCGATCTTTGACATTTTTATACATTGCTAACCATTTTCCTAAAGCAATTTTTCCTAATGGAAACGCTTTTTTCGCTCTTTCTCTGATCGGATTTCAGTGGAAAGAAGGATGGCAATGGTGGCCATGGCCAATAGATGCAAAGATTAGAAGAGAAAAATTGTTAATGGTTATTTTTGAGGTAAAATAAATTTGTTCCAAGGAAAGAAAGAGAGAGAGGGAGAGGAAGAAGATCAAGAAAAGTCGTGAAAATCGTTTGCGGGATAATTGCTGATAGGCTGGCAGAAGGAGGAGCATCAACAGTTGGAGAGCAGAAGAAGCTGTAGGAGGCGGAGGAGTTGGAAATTACTTGACCCACAATCTGAACTCTGCTAGATTCAAACCAGAATCTAGGCTAAATGCTCTGGCAGAGAAGATTAACTTCTCTCTTTCAGCGATCCCTCTGATAAACTTCACCCTATAATTTAAGCAACAATGTTGAGTTTTAGATTAGAAAATGTAGTTACATGAGGTTTTTTCAGAGATTAATAATTTTTATTAAAGCTAGTTTACATACTTTCAAAAGCTATATATATATATTTTTTTTAATTTGAGCCTTGATTATGATATCCATCATTTTAACAGGAAGTAAAGAACACTAAACGGCTTTTTATTTTTAAGTCTCAATCAACTTGAAACCTTCTTACAAACAAAGTCTTACATTTTTTTCCAAGGGCATCCCAAATTTTCAGGTCAAACTTCAAGAGGGAATGCCATATAATTGCTGGTCAAAAGGGAAACCCTTTCCAAAGCGGAGATTGTCCAGAGTTTCAGGGTGCTGCTAATGATGACGTTCGTTCGTTCGTTCTCAAGTGTAAAGAGAGATTGAAATGCTTTTTTGAGCATTATTAACACACAGCATTCATTCTTAAATTTGTCATAATTGGCCATTTTATTGCGCCAACTCTTTTTATATATTTTTTTCCTTCTTTTTGTATTTTGTGGAGTGAAGCATTGTCATTCCATTTCTTCTTTCCATTCCCAGATTTCTGTGGGATTTCTTTCCCCCACACAATTTCTGTGTTTCTGGTTTTGATTTCCTTTCATCCTCACGCTCTGGGTCTTTGCGGTGTTGTCCTAATTTTGTATTTTCATTACAATTCCAACGAATTCCCCTCGGAAATGGAACAAAAAAAAGAAAATATTTTGTTCTGGTTTAATTATTTTTAGTCAGCGCAAAATCTGCCCTCTGTTTTGTTTATTTTATGTTTTGGCATTGACTTTCAATCTGGGTGGAAATTAAATGGCTTTTGCTGTGATGCTGATTTGGGTTCCTAATGAAACATGATCCTCCAGATCGTGCCAATACAAATAAAAATTAATGCTTGCGTTTTGATTTGAATACAGAGAGGAGATTTATTTTTAGATATGTCTGGTGATATCTAGGGTTTCTTAAATTTTAAATAAAACTAAAATATCACTATGCATTTCCATTTAAAAATAAATTTGTATATATCTTGGTATTTCTTTTATCAGAAAATATAAAAAATTAAAAATCTAAAGTTATGAAGTTGAATTTAATGCAAATTATTCCAATTTATCCCTCAATTTTTCTCTTCTTTGACACATTTTCTCATACAATTTCCCTTATTCGGCCCTTGATTTTCCCGTTTTCCCTGGGGCCTGTCAAACACTTCAACTTATAGCTTTCTGTGGCTCCTTCGTGACTGGCAGTGTCAGAGACTCGACTCTGTCATAAATATGGTCTCGATCGAACTTGGCCCTAGTCTTTCGCTTTAAGGTTTTCCAAACAATTGTGCAGAACGGGTGAGCTGGAGGGGAGTTCGGGACATGACTCTTAACGTTATCTTGGCTATTTCCCTGATTGATTGATTGCCGGCAACGACTGGCATCGGATCTGACCCTGAATGCGACTCTCTGCAATGGCAATAAAGCAGAACAGAAGCGGCAAACTGCTGCAACTGCTGCAGCTCAGTCGCAGATCAATCGCACACAAAAAAAACACTGCGCAATTTCAATAATTCACAAAAGGAAACGTCCATAACAGGGCCAGGGCAAGGGGCAGTTGTAATGGAAGAGGGAGGCCTCCTTTCAAGAATTATGGCTCTGTCAATGTCGAGAAGCAAGGAGGGGGCCAGGCGGGCAAGCGACCCCAAAAAGAGCTACCAAAAAAGGCAACTTCAATTTGAGTTTGGAAAGGGCTTTGTGAGGTTGAGGAGTAAAAGGGGGTTTTGAAATCCCCTTTTTGTACTCAATAGAGGAGCACCCCCGACTTTAATAAACGCATCGTTGCACAGACAACTGCCAATGAGCACAATGAGAAATGTCTAAAAATCGCAAGCCAACGCGATGCGATCAAAGTCCCCTTCAGTTACTAAACTCTTCTGTTTCTCTTTCTTCGTCCAGCCCACGAATGATCCTCCTTCCTAAAGTTTATATAAATGCACAGAAAAAAATATAAAGCTTGATAAGATATATAAAATCTTTATAGTAATAGCTTAAAATAAATAATAAAAGTTAGTATTTACTTAAAATATTACAGAAAATTCTTTGAGCTTTGGAAACATTAATCTTTATAATTTCTTAAATGTATATGTATAAAAAAAGTGATTTTTTGTATGCTATATATTTTTTCTGTGTCCATCATTGTCAGCCACATTTTGCAAGTTCCCAAGTTTTGCTGCTCCCATTTAAGGCGCAATGACGCTTCGCTCATGCGCATCACGCACACGACAAACCCCCACCTCCTCTCACCTTTACTGGCAGATCCTCCTCCTACTCCACCTCCTCCTCATCCTTCTCCTACTCCACCTCCTCTACTGCCGATTGCAGTTGCATTCCCTCCTGCACTTCACTTCACTCCAAGTGTCAACGGTGCAACATTGGCAGATGAGGATTGCGGAGTAGTGAATCCATTGCCCCAAAAACGTTTGGTGGGCGCGCGCTTAATCAAAGCGAATCGGAATCCGCGGAGGAGCATCAGGAAAATGCACGAACTGGAAACTCGGCTGAATCATCATCTATGTGAGGGAAGTAATTTCATGGGGTATATAAAGTCAATCTTAAATTGAGATCCCAAGTAATAAATAAAAAATTAAGGCTTTTATCCCAATAGGTCCTGAGTTATAGGTGATCGACCAAATAGATCTTATTAGTAATGAGTTTATGAGATCAAAAGAGGTCTCATAATTAATATTTTTTATTATAATAATATATTATTGAATTTTTTGAGGAAAGCTAGCTTCAGGGCTTAAATCCACGGTATTATAGCTTTCCATAATTTCCATTACACATCCGCCAATCAGCTGCTCTTCTTTTTGCTGCCTTGTCGGTTTGCTTTCGGCTCTGCTTCATTGCCACATTGATGCAGTTGCTCTCGGTTCAAGTCTGTTCCCCTTTTGCCTGGGCCCATTGCATTGCTGGTGACATTGACTGGCTATTTTTAAAATGCCGCATCTGCAGCAATTTGCAATGAAACTAAAAGAAATCTATGCCTGGCTCAAATGCTGTTTTTACACTGAGAAAATCTGAATACAAGTCGTTTATAGTAGTTATAGTTTATTTAAATAAATATTGATACAATTGATCAATTTGTTCGAACTATAGAGAAACCTTGATTAAATCGTAATTAAAGCTCAATATAATTTAGTTTTAAAGACAATTTAAGCCCCTTCTAATAGTGTTCATAGACTGAAACTATCTGGAATCACTGTACCTTTACCATATATTACTCTTTGAGTTGACAGCTTTGCGCTTGAATTGCCAATTTTTGCCCTGAACTTGAGAGCCATGCTCGAAAGCTGCAGCTGTGCTGTGCCAGGTCGTGTCAATCGCCGGTTGTGTGGGTGGATAATCAATTCCGCCAAGAGCTAAGACAAGGAGAGGCACACATTTTCACTCCTCCTCTAGTGTTTTTCCAACTCATTCTTCGTTTCGTTGAGCCTCAGGTGTTCTTTACATGTAACTGTTTCGCTGTCGTTTCCGGTCATCACTTGGCCACTTACGGATGTGAAAAGCCGCGCCCCGCCCCGTTGTCTTCTTTTATCTATGTGTGTTTCCCCCATTTGACTGACTTTTTGTTTGGTTTTATTTCTCGGCTCAACTGGATTCGACGACTCCCCCAACTCGAAACCCAGGGGCTCTGAGAGCTGAGATCTCGGGGCGACAGAGCGCTAATGACATTCAACACTTGAATATCTGAGCTTTGTCGGCCTGAGTTTTTATTATTTCTTATTTTTTATATCCAGTACTTGTAGAAGTCAGGGGTATGTTGTTTTAAAAAAATTATAAAAAAGATAAATAGATAACTCGGGACCTATTAGGTCTAAAACCTTGAATTTTGGGATGTTAGGAGTTCACATGTTAAGGAAAACATAAAAACATATAAACTTACCTTAGTAGGTACCCGATAGTCGAGACCCTCATTCTTCAGCCCTTCTTCTTGTTACTTTTGTTATTTTTTGTGCACGTGTTTCCAAGCAAAATTAACATTTAAATGCGCTCGCAACCGTTGGCTTTTCCCTTCGAACTCGCTGCACATCCGCCAAAGATTTTTAATGAAAATCCAAATGGAAGCTGACACCCAAAGTCCAGAAAGTAAACGATTTCAGGGCCACAGCCAAGTGTATTTTCAGAATAAAAATATAAAAAATCACAAAAGGAACTGCAGCCACCCACGCAGCGATGAGAGAGAACTTTAATTAAACACTCGCCGAGGACCACCAACGAAGACGATATAAAATGCAGAAAAAAAAACAAGAAAAGGAGCTGGGCTTATCCCCAGCGTCTTGGAAATATGAGTTGGCATTTGCTCTAATCAAAGTGCCAAGGAAAAATGTGAATCATGAGATACTTTGGCAGCCTTTTGCAGCGACAGCAGATCAATTTCCAGCGACAGATGTCGAATTAGGAATTGATTTTCTCTAGAGACTAGAGGAATAATCAAGTATCTGCAGGGGGCAAATGCATTTGTCCAAATAGAAATTGCAAATTGCATTTCTTCTATGATTTCAAAGAGGCATAAGAAGGGGGACTATCAAAAGATAATAACTAAAAAAAGATTACATTTAATTAAAGTTACTAAAGTACCTTTTCTCTGGCAAAGATACAATTATTTTTCTTGCCCGAAGTATGCAGTAAAGATGCCAAAAAGTATCTGGTTTTGGTTTCCCTGTCTCATTTCTTTTTATTTTATTTTTTTAATGACCGCAAAGTTCATTGGCACGCGCTCTGCACTGTTATTTTTTCCGCCGCTTTATTGTTTCTCCTTTCCTTGTTGGCAGCTGTCGAGGAATCCGTCTCCGTCAGATACTTTATCTCTATTTTCCCCTGGTCATTTGTCCATCTGGCCTGTAACTTCTTGTCTTCTTAATTTCGACTCGTGCAGCCAACAAAATGCGCCGCATCATCTTCATTAGTGCCGCCGCAGCATCTTGGTGCAAGATGATAAACCAATTGTACTTATATCTAGCTGTCGGATCGCCGATGGGCGTTTAATTGAAAATGTATTTTCGATTGCCCCGGCGACAGCTCTTAATTATGTCGAGTACCGGGGAATTGGGAATCGGGCAGCAGCGGGCATCGGGAGAACTGAATTGCATCTTAAAGATACTTTGCCCAGTGCTGCTTTGCCCCGCTTTGGCATTTTAAGCGGATAATTGTGATGTGCTCGGCGGCAGCACACATGGAAAAATAAGGCAAAAAGAAATTTGAAGGGCTTCCTTGAAAGCGATGGAAATGTCAAATGCCGCCCACACACAAAGCACAAAGCGTTGCAGATGAGAGATGTATGGCGATATATTGAAAGGAATATGGCCAATCAATATTATTAATATAAAAATCGATAATATAATATACATATATTTAAATTTCAGAGTTTATTTTATCGATAAAATATTTATTTTGTTTTAAATATAGATCGATAAATTAGTCACATTTACAAAGTTAATTTTATCGTGGATTTAAGTAATATTTTTACAAAATATTATCGAATGTATAATTTCGTTATCGATAGAAAATAAAACAATCTAAAAGAAATATCGTTGCCTGCTCAAAAACATCGATTTTATTAACAATTTATCGATATTTCGCCTTATTCCTTGTTAGATTAAAATCAGTATAAATTCAGTAACCACATATAATATTCTAAAATTCAAAAGTTTAAGATAGAAAGTAGAAATATTAGTTATTTATGATATATTTTTATCATCTCCATTAAAAGATACTCAGAACAACACACAGAGCGCGCCTGCAGTTGCTTACTAAACCTAAACCACAGATGCCAGCGAAAAATGTCGCTTTGAAAATCAATAATTTGGCAGTAAGTCAAAGCTTTAAACTGCCATGAGAGTGTGGGTGGGAGAACGTATCTGTATCTTTTGGCTGTATCTGTATGCTACACATTCTGCGTTAATCAAATCTTCCCTCCCCACATTGTGCATCAATTATGACGCATTAAATTCAACTTTGCCTTTGAGATACAATTTACGCATTCACCGAATTGTAGGAAGTCGGATATTAATAGAGCTTGGCCTGGGTCCCAACCAGAGTCGTCGTTTCTCCATCTCCATCCATGGTCCCATCCCATCTTGGTTTCGGTTCCATTCTTGCATGTATGAACGTCGCCCACACGGGGCATGAACCGAGAACCCATGCTCTTCCATGCTTTTTATGAAGGGGCAGCTGCTTTTGTAGCATTGCTTCTGATTCCAGTCAGTCCTGCTTTCCTGCCGCTGCAGCAGCCATGTCAATGTCAGACGCTCCTCCATCTCTGGGAGAATGCAGCACAGTGGTTGGAGTTATTTGGATAATAACTTGCCTTGAAAAAATCTTTGCGAATCTTGTAGGTTTTGTAAGAGTTTAGTTTATAAAAGATTTCAAATTTTATTATTATTTTATTTTTTAATAATTATTTTATATTTCTTGCACCACTGTAACAGCGACAGTTCTCGGTGTTAATCCGGCGCTGGCTTTCAATTGAAGTCGAAAGTCCCCGGCCTCTGTCTGCCCGCCTGCCAGCGTGCCTTTCTTATCCCATTGGGTAGGGCTTTCCTGTGCCAAGTTGAAACACTTTAAAAAGTGCAACGACTCGACTGACTTTATCCATCCTGCTGCAGAAGCTTGAGTCGCCGCTGGGGCTTGTCAATTGGAGTTCGCACTTCGGATGCCAGTGGAAAGTACCAACGAGTATCTGGCGAAGTAGCTGCGCCTCAAGTTGGAGATGCAAATGCCGATGCAGATGCAGTTGCAGTTGCAGAATGCAAGATGATGGTTCCCCTGTTCTTCTATTGTCTGCGATTATTTCCACTCACTTGACTCACACACACTCACCCGCGACAACGAGCCACTGTTGTTCTTGTCTTCAATTTTCCCTTTTTGAATGCTGCTTGGTGTTTCACTTTTTTTTTTTTTTGTATCTTTTTGTGTCACGAATAAGGGCATTATTCACTGAAGATTACTGAAGATTCGTTTTCGTTTTCAATGCCCATTTTGTGCATTTTGGTTTTTCATCTTTTGTGCGTTTTCACAGGGGCTCAACAGTGTCAATGGTCTGTTTTGATTGGGACACATTGACCCCCAGAGAGTTTAGTCATCTTAAGAGGGCAGTTGGGTTCCTTAATTAATTGTTGAGGAGCGGGAAAACTTCTCTCTAGGAAAAGTGAGAAGATGTTTTTCAAGGAGAGAAGTTTAGAGGGAAATAAAAATAACATAAAAAAAATCCTAAGGGAAATTAAAGAACTTAAAGTTTCTTAGAAATGGGATAGCTTAAAGATGTGGGATATCTCTGGAAGTCATCAACAAGATAGTAAAAAGAAATTTCAAATGGTTTGGACATAAAAGACTTATATCTTTTCTGTATTTTATTAAATAAAATATAAATTATATTTATACTCACTACCACAAATAAGGACTTAGCTCATACTTTTGAAAGGAAAGTGTGAGGTAATTCCATAAATTTTTATGATGACAATTCATATTATTAAAGATAATTGAAGTCTTTACTTTATTAATCCCTTTTATCCTTTAAATTTCCTTCCAGGTATGTAACTCTAATCTCCACCTTCGACTTAATTTGATCAGCCCACATTCAAAGTTCTGCATAAGTTGTGGCCCGGAGAAAGCCAGAGCCAGCCCTTTCTCGTCTTCGCCCACACACCTGGCCTGGCAGTGACGCAGTGAGTCTCCCTTAAGGTGTTTAACCTCGGCTGCCAAGAACACTTAAAAGCGTTTCATGTTTTATCTAAGAAGGCAGAAGAAATGGCGAACTGCTGGGGGAACTGATTCCATTAAGGGGGCGCCACAACACAACACAACAGCGCCTTAACACTTGCTGCGCCTGTTGTTCGCCACATGTCCCGCATCCCAGAGAGAGAGCGAGCCCAAATCCACATCCTTAGTCACCGCGCCCTGTGGTCTCCTCCCTTTTTTAGCTGGGTAAATAAAACAGTAACTTTTGTGGTTGCCCTCAAAGCAAGTGGGTGTAGTTGTGGAGTGGCTGTTGGTAAGTCCACAAAAGTTTCTGCTTTTATGTCCGAACATAATTTGCAACGGGTCTAAAAAACAAGACGAATTTTATGTTCAGCATTTATGCAGTCGACTTTGGGGCGTTTATGGGTTGAAAACAGAGCCGCACCCCCCAATGCGGCACAAAAGCCATATAATTGAGCTCAAACATTAAGCGGCTTTTCGGGGATTTTTCTTACCCCCCCCTGTAGTACATATTGAAACCGAATCATTGGTTGATTGAATTACATTATATCGTTGAGTATTTGGAGTAGAGAACTCCCCCGCCGAACTTCTTAAAGAAGGTCTCGTTTTCGGTTTCTGCTGTTTCCTGTTTAACCCCGCCCCCACACAAAAGGGAACGCAAATTTAAATTAAACTTGTTAATTATTCCATCGGAACAACCCACACACTCGAGACAAGAAGAACATGTGTTCATTTCATTCACTTCCTATGCTTCCTTCCTTTTACGTCCCACATTTTGCGGGTTTCCTCGATCCCAATGATGATCACTTTTTTGATCCTTTTCCGATACGTGACAGGCATGCGTCGTAACCCGATGCTACCTTTATTTTACTGTACGATTAATTTTCCTGCCCTATTTGCTCCGTTTTTCGGTTAGCAGATGTCGCCTAACATCATGTCTAATGAAATGCCTCGGTGGCTCTAGAATTAAATAGGGAAACCCTCATAGTTCGAGGGCGTGAAAGTTGTTGACAACATGTGGGCTAGGGAGCGGAGTTTACTAGATCGGTGAAGGAGGAGGAGGCAGCGATATACCATGCAGACCTATAATCCATTCACAGCACGTGTCGTCATGGGTGCTACTGTAATCATTCAAGGAGCAGACGTCGATATGCAATGATCTTTCGGAAAATAGAGAGTCCACTTCATCAGTAACCATCGTATTTTTTTTAGGACTTATAATAATAATTTATAAAAACTGTTCGTATATTTTGAATTGTTATTCCTGAATTCTATACACAGTTATCCATCTTATATAGATCCTTTATATTTCATAAATATAACTTCAACGCAATATTATACATCCGGGGTTAGCTTCTTATTTCCGGACTTCCTCTAGAATATTCCTGAATAATTCCGAATCTCCTTTGTTACGCATCATAGTTTTATCCATTGTGCCACCTAAGTTGACGTGAAAAATCATCAAATGTTTTTTTTTTCGGCATTCCAAAAAAGTTGTTTTTTTCTCAGGGGTAGGGAAGGGATATGACTGAACCCTGTGCCAAAACAAAAAGGGGTTATTGTTATTGCTGTGGTGACGCATCAGGACTTGGAATTTCCCTACATCTGCCAGCTGTGTTTTTGTCGATCGAAACTGCGCCTCAACACTTGCCAATTTTAGGCAAGTTTTAAAACGAGTTTCGAAAACCACCAAAATCCTGTATGCCGTATATCCTACCAACCAGTTTTCCTTTGTATCCTTTTTATAATTGAAAAACAGGAAGGGTAGGGAAACTTTAAACAACATAGGGATTACTCTCAAAGTAGAAGTACTAAAGAATCCGATAAAAGTATTAGATTAATCTACTCAAAATCGCTATAAAACTAAATATCTGATCAGTATTTTATCCATTACCCCACAGACTTGGTAATTCTTTTTAAATCTTACGAATGGTTTTTACTTGTAAATAATATACATATTTAGTTATAATATATGATATGACACACCTTTGATCAGACTTAAGATCCCCTTTCTTTATCATGAATCTTTTTCAAAAACACCATAGAATGTTTGGCACTTACTGTACAACAAAACAAAGCAATGCATGGAGACAGTAGTGAGAGAGCATCGCCGGGAGAGAGTAAGCGTTCAATGCTTTCCAGTGCATGCCACCCCTATGCGGGTGCTCTCTCCTGTTCCCCTTCTCCAGCACCTAAGAAGCCGGCTGTGTTTGTGCTTCCAGTCCAAGAGAGAGCCAGGGAGAGTGACAATAAGAGCGGGAGCATAATTGGAGAGCTATTTCCAGTAGTTGTTCTGGCGCTGCACAGTGGAAAATTTAGTTAGTCCATCGCCTTTATGATTCGGAACTGTTGAGATATTCTCCTACTCAGCTTCTTCTGTTAATAAATAAAATTATTAATATCGTATTTTATTAAAATGTGCTCTAAAAATAAAAAAGAAAATGGGACAATCCATCATCCATGGTTTTGTTACCTAAATTTTTTTGTTTAAATAAAACAGTTAAATTTCCCACTGTATGCTGCTTTGAGTGGAAAGCGAACGTCAGAGAGAGAGCATAGCTCTTACGTTTAGCTCGCTCCCTTACGTAATTTCCCCTTACGTTCTCTGCGTTGCTGGCTTACGTGCTTGGTGTCCAAAGTGGTGGCTGGCTTGGTTGTTGTTTCACTTACGTCTTTGCTCTTCTGAACGCCGCACGCTTTTTGCTCTGCTCCGGTTCGCCTCGTCTCTCATCGCACACCATCCTTTAAAACACACTCACACTCGCACCGAGTCGCCCGACAGACGCGGCGGAAAGAAAACAAATCGAACAAGGAATATCTTTTTATATTCCTATTGTGAATATTTCAAATAGTGCAAAAATTGATATTATTATAATCAAAAAAGCAGAATCAAAAAAGAATTTAAAAATAAACCGCAACTATTTTTGTGCATTTTGTTTTGCTCTCAGCATCCATCGAAAGTTTGTGTGTTGTTTGCCGAACGAGTGAATAAAAGAAAAACGCGCAATAAATCGCAGAAAATCTGTACGTGTGTTATACACACCTAAGTGTCCTGCAGGAAGGACCTCGGATTTTGGATTTCGGACACGACCCGCTCGGATTTACAAATTCAAGGATTATTAATTTCCAATTGTCAACGAGAATCACTGAAACACAGTGTGTGCGCGAATTAAAAAACAAGTAAGGATTAAAGTTTTGTGTACAAAAAATATAGTTCAATATGGAAAAATAATTACAAATTAAATAAATCTGTTCCATATGTCACAAGTTTAAAGGGATATAGAATTGTGTGCAATCTTTTCATGTCAGTTTACATTTTAAAAGATAAATTTAATTTAAAGTAAAGGGTTTTTGGTTCTTCATTAAAGTTTTTACTGAAAATGTAAATATACCGTGAAATTTTCGAATAAAAAAATTCTTTCTTAAGTTGAATATTTCGAAAAATAGTCCCAAAGTTCCACAATCGATGGCTTCAAATTTAAAACCGTCAAAAACTGTTCAATATAATCAAATAAATGTCTAATCCTCCAAAAGCCACAATTTATCAAAGAAAAATCTCACCAAAACAATTTAAATTGCTCTCCACAAGCAATCCGAAGAAACATTTTCTCTACCAAGCTCTTAATAAGATTAATGGCACTTCACGATTCATTGATATAATCCCCGAAGAACGCAGGCCCATCATCATCATCTTATGCGTCTTGGGGTCTAATGGCTCGTGTCAGCGATCTGACAGCTCTTTCCCCTCCCCTCACTTTTCTCCCCTTTTTTCGATCCTTTCTAATAGTCCGTGCCTTGGCTCCGGATGGAAAAAACATAACCATTTGACATAAATCAAAGTCGTCGCCGTGACAAATCCTTTTTGAACATTTTATAAACATAATGTGTGCTAATCCTCAAACGCCATTCGAAAGATATTTCAATCTATCAACATCCCAGAGAGTTGAGGATGGAGGAGTTGCTCCAGAAATAGACCAACCATCGGACCCTTTTGAGTCATTTGTATGCAGAGGCAGACGCCGGGCTGGAAAATAAATCCCCAAAAAAGTAATTCCGTAAACAAATGGGAAAGGAAATCGCTGAAGGGATACCGGGAAAAAGGCAATAATTCAATGATGAATTAATAGGCGCTGGCAATTAAGGAAGGGAGAAAAAAATATCCAAAGATCTCCAAAGAAAGTTCGAGTTGGCGCAGCTGCCGCTCTTCGATTCGCTCCAGAAACAGACTTCCGGGGAATACCGGACTAAAAAGTGAGGGAAACATCAACACAAAACCTAAGAAAAAAGAGGGAGCTGCAGGCGACTGAGTGGCAGGAGGGAAAAAGTGAAGATGCCAAGCTGACGCAACATTTGCATTCGGAAAGAGATTTATTGAGGCAACTCCCCCCTGGCTTTTCACGCCACTCCAAACAGCCAACAGCCAACTTCTTCCCCCAACTTCCCTCATTGTTTTGCCAAGATTTTTCAAAAGACAAAAGCCGACAGGCAGCCGCGATGATGATGATCATGATGATGATGTTTGATGAGTGTGCCACAGTATCTCATTTTCTCAGTCTTTTCTATGTTTAATCAAAAGTTTTCTTCTTTACAATTCAATTTAAAATTGTTGTTTCTTATGTAAGTTTTGCCGCTTTCACTTGAAAAGTAAACAACAATTAAGGGAAAGACACACAACGAAAGGAAATGCTACAAGAATATCAAACATAAATTTTCAACACTTTTTCAACTCTGAGATAAACAATCCCACAGAGTTTCCATGTCTCGAGTTCATGGTCAAACAGTTTTTTTTTTTTGGAGTTTTCATTTTGGGAAATTGTAAATCCATCAGCGCTGAGAACTTGAAAAAAGTCAAGTGCCTGGGATACGAAGAACCCCTCTCCTAAGTTGCTGACAATTGACTAATGAGGGTTACGAGAACCCCGAAACAAATCATAAATATTCTTTTTTTGTTGACAATCTCAATTGCCTTTGCTAGGAGTTTTTTTTTAGCCTCAAGGAATTCTCGGGAGTTTTCTTATCGGGAGGGAAATCTTTGCTTATCTTAAAGAAGGAGAGTCGTGTTGCCTAAGAAAATGTGCAATAAAATTGAGGGAAAAAGGAAAAATGGCTGGAAGAAAAATGCATAAAATGCTGTTCAAACATACCAGTTTATATGTTGTTCTACGGTTACGAAATGTAAACAAATATTAACAGAAAAACCAAAAAAAGGCAAGTGCAACTCAAGGTTGTCCCCTCAATATTTTCCGAGTTGTTTGTCTCTTGAGTGTAATTACAAATTCATAAAAATGCTTGTTTTTTTGAAGTGCAAATCTCATTTCCATTCTCCAATTCTCAACAGGCCCTGTCCCAGTGTTAGGCGCCTTCCTTCCGCAGATCCTTTGAGGTTTGTGGGACTCTTCCCTTTCTCTGGTCTGTTTGCTCGTTTACCAATTTCCGCTGTCTACCTGCCCCCGGAGATTATCTTCAGCCAGTGGAACGAGAAAAGACGACCAGAAAAAGGGGGAATATTCACATCACACGTGCATAAACCTTTGGGTTTTGCGGTTACTGGTTTCCTCATTTGTCATACACTGCAGAATTGGGGTATGATTTTAATATAAATATAGAATTGTTAGTTTAACAAATCTACTAAATTTGAAATTTTAAGAAATTACAAATTTTTCCAATTTTTGAAAATATTATAACCAAGTTAAAAAAGCACCAAATTCAATTCGGAAAGCAATTTTGTGCTAGTTTTTTCTAGGTTAACAAATCTGCATACTAAATTTAAAATTTTAAGAAATCCAAATTTTTGAAGATTTTTTACAATTTTAACGATGTAACCCCTTATCAAATTTTGAAAAAATGGCTTAAAAAAATATTTTCCTCCAGACATGGCTAGATCGATTCGGCTGTTAATGCTGATCAAGAATATATATGATTTATGGGTTCGGAAATGACTCCTTCACTTTAAAAATATAATTATAATCTGTAACGGTATAAATATTTCTTAGTGTACCTTATGCTTGGGTGAACTCCACTCCGCCTACTCTATATTGCCCCTTGTGGCCCCCTTCACCTTATTCTTTTGAACACGTGTCAGATCTGTTCATTAATCACCCCTCTTTTGATTGCCCGCGCGAATATGTGGCGGCTCATCATTTTCCAATCTCTCCCACCCTCGACCAACTTCAATAAATTGCCATGAAATTAACAAACTTGAACCAAAATACATACAGCAAGCACAACACAATGTAAGCATGATAGATCAAAACATTAAATGTTAATTTTAAAGTGGCTCCGGGGGATAGTCGGAGACCAGAAGGAGACCGTGATGTTGAGGAGGAGGCCCCCAATTCCAACCAAGAAGTCCATTAGCATGGCGTCCGGATGACAAATTGACTTCGTTAGAAGTTTTTGCGATTTCCCTCGTCGTCTCCGCCATCTCCTTTTCCGCCAATGGAAATTGGAGGCGCAAATTGAAAAATTATTTAGCCTGAGGTTATTGAATCTAAAGCGTTGATTGTAGGGATTTTGTAAGAGAGAAATACGTACTAGATACACCTAGAGATTTTATAGTCACGTAAATTTAATTGAATTCAGTTGAATTTTAACTTAATTTTTGTAGGAATAATGTGATAATATTATTACCTTATTTATTAGGAATAAATGAAAATAAAATAAAATTCTAAGATACATTATTTTGAAAAGTATTTCAAATATTTTTCAGTTCTAAAATATAAAAAATCCAAATCCAAATATTTTTAAAAATTTAATGTACCCTTAAATTGTTTAATTTTTTTTTTCAGATAATTTTATTCAAAACAATTTTTGCCTAAAATGTTACCAGATTTTTTGTTCTCTGTACGCACCTCGAAATTGCATTGCAATTATTATTTTGCTGTTTTGCTGGCTGTCTAGACAAATTTCCTCGTATATATAATTATAAACTAGAGTTTGCTGTTGCTGCAGGCTTAAGCGTTTTATTTATCAGCCGATCTTAATGTGCGGCCTGACGAGTGTCCTGAAATTGTTGGAATATCCTGTTTAATTGAGCATAAACGCAGGGCGCCCACGCAACGAACACTTGGAAAAGTGCATGTCAAAATAGTGGGTTTTTGTTATAAAGTTTTCTGTTTTTTTATTAGCCACGCACACGACACTCAGCCTAGGCGCCATCTGTCGGTGGGTGGTGGCAGTTTTATCTGGTCACCAGTCAAGAAAAGGGTGCTAAAGGATAGTGAAGGAGAGAGAAAAAGGTAGCCAACAGGAAGCGTAATAAATAATAATAACAGGACGCAGATCGGTTAACTCCTCCCCCTCCTCCCACGCTTCTCCTTCCCCTCCAACTACGGTTTTTCTCCATCCCCTTTTTGCCCCTTTAATTCCTCCTTCTCCTTCTTTTGTCATTTGCTTTGCACTGTTTTCGTTTCATGCTTCGCTGCCGTTAGTTGGGCTACTAAAAAAAAAGATAGAACTGCATAAGTTTGGTGTAAAGACTATAAGATACCCTTTCAAAAGTAAAAGAAATAGTATTTGGGCATAATATTATATCTTCAATATTAATTTTATTAGTAAACATAATTATTTTAAGGTACTTGTTAAGAAGACAAATATTCGCATCTAACATTAACATTATCTTTATTTTATTATAATATTTAAACGACCAAAAATCCTTTCCCCCTGTAGCTTTATCAATAAATATACCCCGTTTTTCATAATACCCTTCAGACTATATATGAAAAGATGGAATGGGAAGTAAGGACAGACACAAGTTGCGTCTCTAGCCGCAGTTTAAGCCCAAAAACTTGTGTACCAGTTGTCGCATTCTCACTCCCCCCTGGCGAGAGTTCCCTCCCCCAGGGTGAAATAAATAAATGGCCCAAAGCAATTGCAGTTTTATGCATTTCCAAAGTGTTTTTTGGCATGTTTGGAGATACGTGGTTATTTTACCAGAATTTATTTGTTGCGCTTAAGTTGGGATCTATGAGAACTTAATGGTGGAGAGTCCGGTTGTGCCTTTCTGTTGTTGCTCGTGTTTTAGGATAATCTAGCAGGCTTTTTGAACAGTGGTTGGAAAGGTATTTTATATTGGTTAGTATATTGGTTACATCGTTAAAATTGTCAATTGTTGAATTAAAAAATGCTTTTTAAGTACAAGAAAAATGATAAACAACTTTATAAAATTCAGTTTTAAAACTGTAAAATAAGAATTCCATCTAAAAGTTGCATTTTCCCAACATTTTTCCCACTGTAAAGAGGTATGCGTTTTTCTCATCCCCTCCTCAGTATGTTGTGGTCAATTTTTTTTATGTTTTAACGGCAATTTCCATGTGCGCGGCACTTAAAAAAAGGAACACAAAAAAATGAAATAAAATCCAGGGATAATGGAATAGGAAGCAGGGGAAGTTAGGTCGGGGACTTTTGGATATGAGAAGGAAGTCGAATTGCATGTCAAACGCAAGTTTCGAATTTGATTTAATTTACGAGCCAAGACAAATTACAGACCGACAGCTCGCTCTCACATATGCCGCCAAGAATCGGAAAGGAGGCGGAAAATGTGCGGGACTCTGCTGCGTGACTTGACGACATGGAACGCTTTTCTTTAGCGCTTTTCATTGCCTTTTGGGTGCGTCAACTTTGTTTGTTTGTTTGACCCCCGTAGTGGTCGGGAACCAGACACTTTTGCAAACATTTCTCAGCTAATTAACGATGATAGGCTGGCGAGGAATGTGACTCGTTAGAGGTCTATAAATAATAGCCTATTTTTTGTATTTTTTTATTAACTTTGCAACATTAATTTATGTGTAAACTTAGCTTTGTGTCACAGTAACTACTACGGATTTAGACTGGTAAAAAATAAAATGGAAAACTATATTTACAAAATGTTTAACTTGCCATTAGACATTAATTTAAATTGATTTCCAACCTTACAACTATTTCTCCACTATAAAAATATAAATTAAACTGCTGATTCGTGTTTCATTTGAAATTCCTTAGAGTATCTTTAGATAGAAAATACCCCAATAAAGATTTAATTAGTTGTGTTAGCTCATGGATTTTACAGGAATTATTTTTATGTGACTGTAAAGATATTTAGTTCAACAGTCTTAAAGCCTCCGGCACGCACTGTACAGATCCGCAGAGGAGATAGTGCCCAGAGAGAAAAAGAGATACTCCATTTCCAGTGAACTGTAATTACTTTGACCTGCTTCTGTTTCTGCTTTTTTTAGGAGGAGAGAAAGAATAGTACGAGGAGGAGGCTTACATGCATTGGCCCCCATGACTTCTCTACACTTCTGCCAGACAACTTATCTCCGCCTCCGCCTGCCAGCCGGGCCTAGTAATACTTTGAAATCCGATTCAATTGGATTTCAATGCGTCTCCTCGTTCTGTCTGTCCCCACAGAGTCCCCCCACAACTCAAACTTAACCCCTTATTTTGTGGCGACACTCTTTTCACTTTCGATACGCAACGCAGCATTGTCGTGAGTTGTTGGTTTCGATTTTTCCTCCATTTTCCCCCCCTATGCTACTTGTCACGGAAAAAGTAGCGACTGGAACTGATAATGACGCCAGATTATGGCACGCAATGCAATTTGAACTTAAAGTTCACATTTTAATGGAATTTCGGTTGATTTACATGACAGAGGTCGCGGCTTGGCATCGTTTTTTCCCCTATGTCACATCATCTTCTGCCATGTTGCGTCTCTTTAGGTTTCCATTGCGTGTGGGTAATGGCCGCGTAATGCTCTCTTTTGAAGGAAATGACTAGAAAAAGTGGAATAAGGTTCACTGGACAAGGGACAGTGTAAAGTAAATGGAGATTGTGAAAAAAATTATATAAATTATTAAAAAGTATTATGTAAAACATATTCAATGTCCTAATACAGGAAAATAACTCATTTAATATAGTTTTAATAATTATAAGTTAAACATAAAGGTAATTTTTTAACCTAACATAAATAGTTTTTAAATGACGCTATGTGACTAATGACATTCTAATGTCCCTGTCCTGATCATTAAAAAAAAGTCAAAGAAAGTCAAGTAAAAAAATACTTAAAATTCTCATGACTTTTGCCCGTTTCTGGTCTCAATAATGAGTCTGGACGTGATTTGCTTCTGTGACCACGGTTGTAGCCCGCAGCGAGCGGCGTTTCAGGCATAATGATGCAAAGGTCCTGTCCAATCGAGTGTCCTTGGCTTGCCTTCCGCCACGTTGATTTTATAGTTTTTCGCTAATTAAGAAAATGCCAATGGATTTCTGAGAACGTGAGACGTGTGAAAAGCGACGAGGCGCACGTACCACAGAAAATTTTAAGAAGGAAGAGGGATCTTGCACGGTTGCAGGATAGATGGGATCACGGGGCGCAGCTGGTCCTGTGCGCTTAATAAATTTGCGGTCTTCCCGCCCCGAAAAAAGGCCATGCGGCAGGAATGTGTGCCTAGGGAAATTCGAGCAAATTTTCCACGGCCTACCTGAGAATGGTCCCGCTTTTCCAGGTAGGATTTCCAAACTAGATATAAATTCAGGTAGGGAACTAGCCCGGGGCCCAAAGAAAACCCTCGAGTAATTGTGCAAGGACAAAGAATAGAGAGACAGCCGGCGAGGATCAGCTGCTTGTCCTTAGGTATCTGGTTTTCCACCAGAATAAAAAGCGCGTGCAGCTGAAAGCGGCAGCTAGAAGCATTTCAGCCAGCGATCGTGATAGATCCTAGATCGTAGATCCTTAAACAAAAATAATTTCAAAAAATAAAAACCAGAGCCAAAGTCTAACCTAGTTATTTCATCAACTAAGTCAAGGTGTGTCTTCTGCACAGGACCAAAAATCTTAAGAACTTAAACTAAAGGATATATATATTATTTATATATTTCCAGAATTCTCGCAGAGTTCTCTAAACGATCTTGAATCATCCACAACAACATGGGCGAACTCGAAGAGAAGGAAACCCCGCCCACTGAGACCACAACAGCAAGCCAGCAGGATACGCTGGAGGAGCCCAAGGAAACGGACAAAATGCTGGACAAGAAAGAAGAGGATGCCAAGGAGAAGACCCCAAGTCCACAGACCTCAAAGCCAGCATCTCCCAATGCCGGCAAGAAGGCATCACCTCTGGCAGAAAAGAAAACTGCTGGAGATTCTACTGAATCAGACAAGACAAAGCCGGGTAATGGCGAGGAGATCATTGATATACCCGCCGAGAATGGCACCAAGCCGGAGGGCAACGATGACAAGAAGATCAGCAAGGAAGAGCGTGAAGTGAAGCCCAAAAAGATACCGATTGGTGGCCTCAAGCTGCCTGGTTTCTTTATGAAGAACAAACCCAAGGTTGAGGGCGATGGAGCTGAAGGCGAGCTGCTTGAAAAGGAGAAGGAGGAGGAAAAGGATAAGGAGGCGAATGGTGAGGGAGCAGCTGCCTCTGGCAAAGATGAGCAGAAATCTCGGCCAGGACTGGGTGAGCGTCTGCGCAGCTTCTTTGCGCGTAAACCATCGGCCGAAAAGGAGAAGAAACAGTTGGTTAATGGAGATGCCGATGCCAAGTCAGGTGAGTTGACTGGGTTTACTAAATATGGATTTTGAGACCTTAGTCATATTTTTTAATTCCTAAAAACGCAATTTGAACTAATTTATAATCTCTATATATTTACAGAAGCCACCGCTGAAGCCACCCCAGCTGAAGATGCCTCGGAGGCACCGCCCCAAAAGCGAGGCCTGCTCAATGCCATCAAGCTGCCCATTGCCAATATGATACCCAAGAAAAAGAGCAGCGAGGATGTGGAACTAGGCTTGGGCAAAGCCGGTCTGGCCTCCATGGAGACTCTTGATGATTCTTTAAAAGATCAGGACACTGTTGACAGGGCTCCGGTGAAAACCAATGGCACCGATGATCTGAAAAGCGATCTCAAGGATGAGAAGCTGGCAGCGGAGCAGAAACTGGCCGCCGAGGAGGAGGAACGTGAGCGTCCCGTCTCCCTGTTGAGTCGCCTGCGTGGCTACAAATGCAGTGTGGACGATGCGCTGATTGTGTTTGGAATCCTGCTGTTTATATTGCTGCTTGGCGTGATTGGTTATGTGCTAACCCATGAGACTCTGACATCGCCGCCGCTACGCGAAGGACGCTTTATACTGGCAGTGACAAGCTGCGGTCCCGTGGAGGGTGTCAAAGAAGATGGAGCCTTTGCCTTCCGCGGCATCCCCTATGCCAAGCCACCGGTGGACAGGCTGCGTTGGAAGCCAGCCGAGCTGATAGATGATATCAATTTGTGCTGGAACGATACCTTGCCTACGCACAACAGCAGCGTTGTGTGCACGCAGAGACTGGGCAATGGCACCACTGTGGGTGATGAGGATTGTCTGTACTTGGATGTGGTCACCCCACATGTGCGTTACAATAATCCCCTGCCTGTGGTGGTATTGATTGGTGCCGAATCTTTGGCTGGACCTTCGCCAGGAATCCTTCGTCCATCGGCCCGCTACTCTCGCTCTCACGATGTGATCTTTGTGCGTCCCAACTTCCGCTTGGGAGTGTTTGGTTTCCTGGCTCTTGATGCTCTCTCCAAGGAGTCACATCCCCCGACATCGGGCAACTATGCGCTCACCGATATCATTGCCGTTCTGAAGTGGATTAAGCTGAATATTGTGCACTTTGGTGGTGATCCCAAGTCGGTGACTTTGCTGGGACATCGGGCAGGAGCCACACTTGTAACTGTTTTGGCCAGCTCACCCAAGCTTAAGGATCTGTACACCAGGGCCTGGGCCTCGTCTGGATCGGCTATTCTGCCGGGAAAACCACTGACGGAGTCTGAGAAGCTCAACCAACAGCTGATGGGCACTTTGGAGTGCGCGGATGTGGAATGTTTGCGCGAGGCATCCAGCGAACGCTTGTGGGCCGCCACTCCCGACACCTGGCTGCACTTCCCCGTAGATCTGCCCCAGCACCAAGAGGTCAATTCCAGTGGCAGTCGTCACGAGTGGCTGGTTCTGGACGGAGATGTGCTCTTCGAACATCCCTCGGAGTCGTGGAAACGCGAACAGTTCACGGACAAGCCGCTGCTGGTGCTGGGAGCCACGGCTCATGAGGCGCACACCGAGAAGCTGCGCGAGCTGCATGCCAACTGGACGCGGGAGGAGGTACGTGAATATCTGAGCAACTCGCAAATTGGAGCCTTGGGTCTCACCGATGAGGTCATGGAGCACTACAATGCCAGCAGCTATGCGTCTTTGGTATCCATTATTACGGACATAAGGAGTGTGTGCCCGCTGCTAACGAATGCCAGGCTGCAGCAGAGCGTTCCCTTCTATGTGGTCACCCAGGGCGAGGGTGTAGATCAGCTGGCCACCGTGGATGCTGATGTGCAGGCCATCCTGGGACGGTATGAGCCTCACACCGTGGAGCAGCGTCGCTTTGTGTCTGCCATGCAGCAGCTCTTCTACTACTATGTGTCCCATGGCACGGTGCAGTCGTTCGATCGCAATCGCAGGGTCATCAATGTGGGCCAGGATGCGCAGCCGCAGGAGGACTACCTGACGTGCAACTACTGGATCCAAAAGGATATAGTGCCGCGATATGCGCGTGTCGATTAAGCGAACTAAAAAAAAAAACCCAAGACCCTGCTGCTTATCCTTCTTTCTCTTCTTTCTTTATCCAACTGGAGAGGGATTAATTGCCTGGAATTTCCAAATTATAATTATAATTTATAGATTTATAATTTATAAATTTATAATTTATAATCATAAATTATGACTAAAAAGTCCGTGTTTATCATTCTCCAGTTGACTTGTAGCTGTAGCTTCGTTTATCCCTTCGACTTCGTTTCGAGTTTAGTTTAGCCTAAGTGAATCTAGTGTTTATATATATATATATAAAGATATGTCTTAGTTCTCGTACAGTTTAAGTTGTAAGCTTTTTAAGTAACTACTACTTACTCCATCAAGCGTCGTCTCTCTAATCTTAATCATAAATACAACACACACACAATGACACAAGAAAAACACAAATAAAACATCACAAAAAATCACAAAATATATATACAAAATTATACTTGAAAAGTATAGATCTGCGTCTTTCAACTATCCAACCAAAAAACACAAGCACACACTTATCTATATGCTAAATACTATAAAACCATAAATAAAACTAAGAGGGAGTACATAGGCCACACAGCCGAGCTGGAAATAAATCGAAAAAATTGTATATCGATGTAAGGGATAATTGAAAAAATTCGATTAATCGATTTAGTTTCCAGCTCTGCCCACAAAGGTTTTTGATTTCTGCCAAAAAACTGATCACCGAACGACCAACGATGACGATGAAACCTTTTTTGATACTACTTTTACACCGAAACTCAAGACTCAAGAGCAAGAAGCAAACCGAATTCATTTAGATTTAGTGGCTGGAAGGGTGAGTCCCTCCCCCTTTGAAAGTGTTGCAAACATTTCGAGAGACTGTCTGAGGAATGAATTTAAGGACATTTATATATTTAATTCGTTCAATTCACTTGGGAGCATCTATAAATACGCCTCTTTATATATAAATATAAATCGAATTAAAACCGATATTTGTATGGATAACAAAACACACATTTTTGTATAGCTTTATATGTAATGTATATTATTAATAATCGAACCAACATTCTCCATTGTTTTATACAAGACTTATACTCACAACAGATATATATGACATCAAAACGAAATTGAAATTGAAATCAAGAATCAAAATCTGAGAAAATCGTAAAGTACATTTATGTTCACAAAATGTTTATAATAAATGGAAAAAATTAAAAATATGAAAAATTTAACACTAGAATTCATTATCAGCAGTCAGTTATTCTTAATCTTAACATGGCACCTCCTCGCTCATCGCTTGGAACTGTTCACCTTGTAGACGCGACACTTGTTGTCGGTGAGGGCGGCCAGATAGGATCCCGCCTGCGTGGCCACCGGGCAAATGTCGTATATCACCTCATTGACGGGCATGGTTTGGACGCGCTCCTCGCGCCTCACATCGTGCATCATCAGCTGCTTGCTGTCCTGCAGATAGCCCATTACCAATGTGTTATCCTCCACACCCAGTTGCGTGGGTCGAGTCATTATGGGCGTGGCCTTGGAACCATAAATGGTGGCCTTGATCTTCAGCACCGGGATATTGTCCATCTTGTCCAGCTGGGCGAGTATGAAGCGGGATTGTGGTGAATTTGGATTGGATCTAGCTGATATAAGCAACGTGTCCAGCACGGCATCGTATTGCATGGACAGGAAAGGCCCGTCTACATTGAGCCGGGTGGGCACTGCCGTCTCGCTGGACGCCGTGTACTCGTAGAATGTGAGGGCTGTCAACTGACAGACCAGGAAGCCGCCGCAATTAAAAGTCTTATTCGGTGGCACAGTAACTATGTGTATCACAGGACTAAAGTTTTCTGGAAAAGGTTAAAAAGGAAAGCAGGATTTGAATAATTAAAACCAAATTTAGGGAACTAACTTAAAGCGCACACTCACCATTGGCTTGGAATTCGCAGAGTATGTTCTCTGGAAATCGCAGGTCATAGATGTAGACTCCTCCTCGCAAATCCCCGGCGTACAGGAAATGCTCACGCTCGTTGCGATCCAGAGCGCAGGACCACAGCATTCTGTCGTGGGCCGTAAACATGGACGAGCACAGACGCGTTCGAATGTCAAAGAGTTTTATCTTTGGCTCCCGACTGGCCACCGTTAACAGCTGCTGCGACTCACTAAACGCCACATCCCTGACCAACAAAGCCGAGGTATGCAGGAAGTGCAAGGGCTTAAAGCTGGGCGGATCGATGAAGCGCATTCCGTACCCAGGAAACAGATTCTGGGCACTCTTCTGCGAGGCCACCAGCATCGAGTGCTTGGCGGAGTAGAGCAGCACCCGACAGCCCGGCTCCCGGGTGATCTCAAAGTTTTTCTCCATATACAGGCGATAGGAAGCCAGCTGATGGACGCTCTTCTGGCTACAACTGCCGGATGCATCGTCCGCGAAGGCCCCTCGACTGCCGCCTGCTCTAACCAGTTCCTTCATGCGATCATAGTTTGCCTGTAGCACTAGAAGCTTCTCCGAAGCGAGGGCATGGCAGAGCTTTGACGTGGCCAGCTCCGTGGTCAGCTCTTGGTTGCGTCGGCGCTCTGCTTCCAGCTGCTCCTTAATATCCGTGTCCAGCATTTGGATTTTTTTGGCATACAGGTGACGAATGTCACGAAATGTGGCTTTCGTTTTGCACTGCGGACACACCTTTACAGAGGATTGACGCTGGCTTTCGTTTAGCCAGCGCCGGATGCAGGATTCGCCAAACAAATGCCCGCAACGCAGCGAGACCAGTCGGTGCTCGCCACTCATTTCCCAGGAGTCCAGGCAAATGGGACAGGTCATGCCATCGTCTTCGTCCTCATCGGGACAGGCGAGTTTGGCCTCTGGGGAGGATTTTTTGGAGCTAGTCCCAGATTTGGGGGAGCCGCGCTTGCGTTTCTTAGGCGGCGAGGGAGTGTCTAGTGAGATCACAGCGGAGTTTTGGCCTCGAGACCGCCGGGAAGTGGTTGGTGGACTGGGCTGTGGTGGAGGATCATCAATGATGGCCTCAATTAAAGGAGCCAGAGGATGGGCATCCTCAGCGCCTTCAGGTTGTGGTGGCTCTTCCTGTATGACAACAGGATCGTCTGGCTCTTCATGCGGCTCTTGATTCTCGTCAGGTTGCTCCTGATTTGGATGAGGGTCTAGCGCAGGTACGCGTATCACCAGAGGCATCGCAACTTGAAAGAGCCGTCGTTCCAATGGCTCTGCTTCCTCTCCAGACTCATCATCTTGATTAATGAAATCTCCCTCCTCATTCACATAGCCACCGATATTATTCGGGATTATTCCAAGATCGTCCTCCTCGTCCAGCATTTCTGGCTGCGTGATGATCCGCTGCCATCCCTGCCTGCGCACCACAGGCTGATCGGAGTCCCTACTGGCCGCGGAGTCAGTTTCGGGATCGAAGACGTCCACGATCTCGCCGCCTTCGCTCTCCGTATCGCTCATCATTGCAGCGTTTACATGTAGAGACTATGTGGGATCACTTTTTTGTTAGAATTTCTGGAATTTCTTTAAAGACGCTAAAATTTCAATTTCTTATGATTTCTAGAGGTGGACTACGCCGCGTGAGCGACGGAGTGGCTGTAAAGAATATCGAAACGGGTTTGTTGATGATTTTTCTGCTGGAAATATAAAACAACAACAACCCATTTATTACTAATATATTTTTTAGAGTACTTTATTATTATTTTTACAAAATTATCCCCTTTATGACACCTGTTATTTTATTTAATTTTGCTATAAACTATCGAATACCAATCAAGCTAATCGAATGAATTGCGATATCTTTTGGACTTTGGCCTACGGTCACTCTAAACCACTCGACGCGAATTACTGAATCGCCGCCATTCGAAAAAAACTTAAATCCTGAGAAAAGCACGCTGAAAATCGCAACAAATACTTGCCCGAAAACGTGAATAAAATCTACGAATCCCCGGCAAACAAAAGTTGCAAATCAAAAAGCTGAATTTGCATAGAGAAAATACTCCCGAGTGACCGGCATTTCGCTTTTGCGGCAAAAAGTTGCATCAGTGTGGGTGTACGTTCCGTTCGATCCAGCAGCCAAAACGAGACGGAGAAAGCTTTTAAAATCGAGGTGTTAATTGCTTGAGAGGTGCGTGAAGTTCGCGGTAAGCTACATCGTAAAGGTGAAATTAGCGCAACGCAATTTGCTGGCTGACTAACCCGCGTACCCCCGTGGCCTTGAACTCGACAGACTTGGCTGCCTGCCGTCCACTCAGGCACGCATACAGCTATACGGGCAACAGCGACGCCACACACACACACACACATAAACACGCGCAAAAGCCGCTTCCACTGACCGACTGACTGCTATTGCAGAGCAAAAGAGAGGCAAGAACGCTAGAACCATGGCCGAACCAAGGACGCCCGAGAAGCTGCTGACCGCCAAGCCGCCGGTGTTCCACCACAACAGCCACAGCCCCAATGCCTCGCTGCAGCTGCCCAGTCCTATCATCACGCGGCGCACACGCACGGCCTCGACGTAAGTCCTCCACCTCCTTTGGCTTTGCCTGTCCTGCCACCCCGTCCCACAGCCAACCATGTCCTTGCCAAAACAAAAAAAAAAAACATCACTAGGCCCTATTACAGAGGCCTTACGAGGGGGTTTTAGGGGGCCACAATTTCCCTGTTTCAATTTTCTAGGCTTTTGGAAATTTTAAAGCTTTTAAAACATATATTTTTTTTAATGTTTAGATAAAAACTTTAGCAAATTCATTTTATTTATTTATATTTTACAAAATATCCCTAAAATTACCTTTATCTTTAAATTAATAGAATGAATTTTATTTATTTCCTACTTATAAAATATATATAAACTGAAGTTTATTTCTTAATAATATTGATATTTTAAATTTACATTAAAAATAAAACAGAAATCCTTTTAAAATATAACCTCTACTCCCATGTTCTGACATTGATTTAATTGCCTCTTCCTGCTTCTCCCTTTCCGTATTAAATGCTGCCAAAAACCCAAAACACGCGCCAACGCCAAAAAAAACCAAAATCCCACAAAAAAAAAACGTAGCTCCGCTCGGGCTCTGGAAAATCCGGTGGTGACCGGCATCGTGAAATCCTTCAGCCGCAGCAAGGGACACGGCTTCATTACACCCAGCGGCGGTGGCGAGGACGTATTCTGCCATGTTTCCGAGTAAGTTGATGAATAATGCATATTCGAGACCTTTCCTAAAAAAGTGTACATACATATGTACATATAATCGTTTTGCAGCATCGAAGGCGAATATGTACCCATGCCCGGGGACGAGGTCAAATACCGTCTGTGCGCCATTCCACCCAAGTACGAGAAACACCAGGCAGTGCATGTGCAGATTAGCAACCTAACGCCCGAGGTGCACCACAAGTGGGAGGAGCCGGTCTTTGGCTCATCGCCTGCCAAGTAGAGCTGGAGCAGGAGCAGGGAATAAGGCAAAGGGAGCGGAAAAGCGAGCAGTTAAAAGCTAAATGGCCTTCCACGAAATTTAATTGAACTGGAGCACGCCAACCGGGAGGAGCGAGAAGCGAAAGGCAAACAGAGAACGAAACAATAACCATGAAAGTAAACGAAAGCAGCCGCCAGGAAAGCCAGCCAATACAGAGATCGTAATAGAATATAGAATAACAGGCCTGCCATCCAGCCAACAGCAGCATCAGAGTTTCAATTGAACACTTAATTAGAATTTAAGCTAAGCTATGGAAACAAAACGGTCACAAATATTGCCTTCTTCCCTCTGGAAGAGTGAAGAGCAAACCAGTTTCAAGTCTATTATTATTGAAAACGTATGTATTCGGAAATTGAAATTGTTATTCGAGATGCCGGCCAGTATGGAGCCTGTATCAGTAATTACTTTTAATTATAATTGAAACATCTGAATGTGTTCGCTCAGCAAGCAAGTAAAATGCTCTCAGTAATTCACTTTATTATTAAAACAAAAGCTGCAAAACAATCGATTGTTGTTGTTGTTGTTTTGGGAAATGGGAGCAACCGTTGAATATTATCTACATGTTGATATGTGTACATATATATTTGGAAAGCACAGTGGCGGTGATAATAAAGTATTCTTAACTTTCATTTCTTTTAAGTTATTAAATGTTTTAAATATTTAAAACTTCATTGGCTTCTATTGTCAAAAAGTACAGCTTTTTACCTAGTTATTATAAAAAAAGTGGCTTAGGTAGATTTAAATAAACTGGATAAATCCTGATCCAGTTGGAAGGGTATTCAAGCTTTGGCGTATTATTTTAGAAGCATTTCCACAGGCTGAAATTATTATTTCTCCCGGCATTGTGGGACTTTTTTGTATTGCGTTGTATCTTATCGGTTTCCGGTAGAGGTTTACGCCGATGGTTAAAGGCATCGGCGGCGGCGTAGAGGTCAAAATGACTCGGCGGCGGCGGCGTAGTAGTCAGAAAGAACCGGCGGCGGCGGCGCGTCAAATAAGGCAAAAAGGCCATTTTAATGAGTTATTTTTTTTTTTTTAAGTTTTATAAAGAACAATGACACTGAAGGCCGCGCTGAAGCTGCGCCGATGCCGCACCAGCGGCGCGCCGCGGCGCGCCGTTATTTTCATAATTTGGCGGCGGCGCGTCAAATAAGGCAAAAATCGGCGGCGGCGGCGGCGTGGCGCGGCGGCGTATATGTCTAGTTTCCGGAAAGACAACCCAAGCTGCTGGGTTGTGTGTATACGCGCATATATTTCTGCCCGGCTTAACAAATAAGAGTACATATTGCTAAAAATAGCAACTCATGCTCTCCCAGTTGGATTTTAAACTTTTTACAGGAAGCCCGCCTCCGTTAAAAGTGTTACCAGTCGCTGTGCATTTTTTTATAGCTGTGAATCAATTTGCTATAAAATATTTATTGCGCTAGGGAAATGTTAAAAGAAATATATTTATAAATTATAAATAATATATTAATATAAAAAAATAACATAAAGCCATAAAAAACCAACCAGATTTTATCTAATTAAATTTTAAACACTTTACTTGCCGCCCGCCAGCTTCATTAGTGTGCCCAGTCGTGTTTAGGTTTTTATGGCAATATGGATGTGCTATAATTTAAATTACATGTTGGGAACGTCAACAAAAACATATGCCACGACCTTAAAAAATAAGTTTTGACGAAAAAAAAGCGCTAGCGCAGAAACCGATTAGTTTTTTTTTTACCGGAAATACCATCAAAATTCATAGCAGCCTCCAGAAAGTCAGAGACAGGTGGTAAAATAGCTTGCCGTTAGAGTGACGTGGACCTGGGGGACATTTGTTGTTATTTCGTTTTTACCTGTTTAGTGATTAGTAAAACAGGTGAGCCGGTGGCCTCCAAAGTGCCGTGCATATTGTATATATTATACTCTATATTTTATTTCTTATTAGCATGTCTGCGGTACGTCGAAAGGCGCCCGGCAGCGATGCCGACCAGGAGCTGCTCATCGAGGACACTTCAAAGTCGCACAAGGACAAAGAGGACCAAAAGCCCGATTTACGCGGAGATCGTAGGAACATAGCCATCCTGCTGTTCCTGTACATCCTTCAAGGCATTCCCATTGGCCTCATTGGCGCCATTCCCATGCTCCTCCAGAATCGAGGATCAAGCTACAAGCAGCAGGCAGAGTTTTCCTTCGCCAATTGGCCCTTTAGCCTGAAGCTGTTGTGGGCCCCGATTGTAGACTCGCTGTATGTGCGCCGCTTTGGACGTCGGAAATCCTGGTTGGTGCCGGTGCAGTACCTTCTGGGTGCCTTTATGCTGCTCCTATCGCTTCACGTGGACCGCTGGCTGGGCGGAAATGGCGTAGAACCGAATGTACCACTGCTGACCTTGCTCTTCTTCCTGCTGAACTTCCTGGCCGCCACCCAGGACATTGCCGTCGATGGCTGGGCCTTGACCATGCTCAAGCGGTGCAATGTGGGCCATGCCTCCACTTGTAATAGTGTTGGCCAAACTGCTGGCTACTTCCTGGGCTATGTGGTCTTCATTGCCTTGGAGTCTAAGGACTTTTGCAACACCTACTTGCGGGATGTGCCCATGGATGAGGGATTTGTGACACTGCCGCGCTTCCTTTGGTTTTGGGGCATCACTTTTGTGGTGGCCACCACTCTGGTGGCTATCTTCAAGAAGGAGAACGACATTGAGGATGCCCACATGGACGCTCGGTACACGGAGGAGCATGAGCTGAATATCCACCAGAGCTATAAGATCCTATGGGACATGGTTCGCATGCGACCAGTGCAAATCCTGGCTGCAATCCTGCTCACCGTTAAGGTCACGTTCACTGCCTGTGATGCAGTCACTAGCCTTAAGCTGATTGATGCAGGGATTCCCAAGGATAAACTGGCTTTGCTGGCCATACCTCTCGTCCCCCTGCAACTTATCCTGCCACTGGCAGTGGGTCGCTACACCAATGGTCCTCGACCCATGGACATTTACCTGAAGGCTATACCGTATCGAATTCTCATGGCCTTGGTGATCACTTGCCTTACTTATGCCACGCCCTACATCATCCAGGGCGGCTCTGTGCCAGTTTACTACTACGTTTTGTTGGTGGTCAACTATGCCTGCTACCAGGTTTTCCTGTACTCCATGTTTGTGGCCGCCATGGCCTTTTTTGCCAAGATCTCGGACCCAGCGGTGGGCGGCACGTACATGACATTCCTTAATACGCTATGCAACCTGGGTGGAATTTGGCCCAATACTGTGGTGCTCTGGCTGGTGGATGTGCTCACGTGGAAGCAGTGCTCTAATAATCCAAGTAACACCTGCCAGGGCAACGAGGAACAGCAGGTGAGTGCAGCTGGAAAGCAAATTTATACGTTTTTCTAGCCATATATAATGATTCCCCCTCCATGTTTCCAGAGCTGTGAAGCCGCTGAGGGAAAGTGCGAAATCACCTTCGATGGTTACTACCTGGAATCCGCTTTCTGTTTAGTGTACGGCATTGTGTGGCTTCTCCTAGTCCGCAAGTGGATAGTCTATCTACAGGATCTGCCCGTGCGTTCTTGGCTGGTGGTCAAGCAGAAGAAACAGCGGTAGCAATTAATTGTGTGATCCCGGTGGCTATCAACAGCTCCCCCAAGCGTAGGTACAAGCTAATTGTAAGACTAGGAGACCGTTATTGCATTCTGTAGGCTAGCGCAATTGAAAATTCCCGCCTTTCTTTATAAATTCCAAAAGGAAATAAAAAATTGAAGCTTTTGAGCGAAAGTTGGATGTTGGTTTATTCGCTCGACTGCGCGCAATCATTGAAGGTGTACAAAGTGTCTTAGATTAGTTTTGTGGTTTAAAAACAGTCCAGCAGATTTAATAGTACTTCCACGAGTCAATGGACTCTTGGTTCTTCTGCTTGCTCTTGCGCTCAATCAAACCGGCCAAATGCTCTGACCGCATCGACAGCGAGTCGATCTTCTCCACCAGCTGCTGGTAGGGACTCAGCGGCTGTGTGCCCATCACCACATGCCCCAGCTTCGAATCTATTTTGGCATTAAGCCGGGCATTCCGTATGAGGTTGACAATCCAGCACTCTGCCTCATTGGGCTTCATGTTCAGCTTGTCGGCCAGCATGCTAATGGTGATGCACTGATGTATACGGCAGAAGGTCTCGAAGATCATCAGGCGGGCATCCTCCACGAACTCATTCAGGCAGGCCACGATGAAGAAATCGTTAAGGATCACCGTCTGGCACTCGTGCAGCTTCAGACGAGCGCCCTCAAAGTCAAAGTTCACGTAGAGACACTCCAGGAACTCGGTGATGGGATCGCGGTACGTGTACGACTCCTGCTGGATTACCTTAATCAAATCCTTGAGGGCATTACGCCGGGTGCGATTGATCACAACGGCGGTGGCCAGATAACGCATGATGTGCGGGCACATCGTCTGGATGGCGTTCAAATACAGCGGCTTGTACAGGAACATCTCAATGATGAGATCCCTACCCTTGGGGTGGTTGAAGAAAACCAGCACAGACCAGTGGATCAGCCAGGTGCGCTGCTGCAGGGCCTGGATGGTGCTGAAGTTGGCACTGTCAATGTAGTCACGCAAACGGGTCAGATCCTCCAAGGCGGTGTTCCAGTTGAGGGTCAGAATCTCGGCAGCCAGCTTGCCCCACAAGACATTCAGATAGTTCTGGAATTAAAGTTAAGTTAGCTTCTTAGAATCCTTCATGTTTTTCAAGATATTCCACTCACCTTATCATTGGGCGACATTACAATCAGGCAAAAGTAGAGATACGAGGTGGACTCCTGGTAGTTGCCGCACTCGTACAGATACTTGGCCAGCTTGTAGGCGCTTTCCAGGTGCTCCAGCTTAAAGTTGTAATCCTTTTGCAAGGCATTGACGAAGGTCTTCGAGTCCTTCATGCTCTCGCCATTCTTGAGAATGTCGGTGGCCTTCATGATGGGCGCCACCTCGTTCTGCAGCTGCTTGAGCGTAGCCAGGACCTCAGCCTTGCGCTGCACTAGCTCCTCGGGCATTTCCTGGCTGAGATTGAGACGCTTTCGCGTGTCCATCGTGTAATCAATCATGTTCGTCTTGTTCACCGTCTCCAGGATGTATTCCAGCAGCTCCTGCTGGTTGTAGATCTGTGGGAGAAACATATAACTCATAAGTGGTGACACGGCAACCGCTGGCGGAGCACCGCCTTGCAAATTTTCTAACCTCCTTGCCGCACAAGAATTCCAGCAGCGGGAAAGTGAGATGCCTGTCCAGGTATTGACAGTTGATGCGTGTTAGATCGAACTGCGCCATGATTGCTGCTGTTTTACTGTGATTTAACAACAAAATTTACACGCAAAATTGCTCGAAAAATACGCGTGCGAAAGGCAAACAGTGTGCCCAGGGGCGAAAAGAATGACGCCAGATAGGTGTGGCCGAGGCATGAAAGTGGTAGCACCACTAAATATACCAGACAGCTGAAAAGGAGAATTTTTTTAAATTTATTTAATTTACTTTCTAATTTACAGACTAATTAAATTAAATGAAAAACTTCTTGTAAAGTTTTTTATACGTTTTAATCTATAGAACATCTAATTTAGGCTGTACTTTAAAAATGTAAATTCCCTGCCGGCGAGTATTTTATTGCAAAGCTTGGTATTTTTCGAAACCACGGTCACATTGCTCAAGAAACTGTCATTCAACGCCGGTAAAAACATTTTCCTATTTTATGGAACCTTCTGTTAAAAAACCCAAGATGACGAACCCCAAGTTCAAGCAAAACAAAAAGAAGTATTTCCAAGCCAAACGACAGGTGCTCCAACCAGGACAGCGCGGCTTCTTTGCCACGTGCAACATCAACGAGAAGGCATGTGTGCGCGAGTGCTACAATCTGTTGAATCACTACGCAGATTTGCTCTACGGCCCGGAAAAACCGGAGACCGAGCCGGAAAAGAAGCCGGATAATGTGGAGAAGGAAGCTACCGAGGCAGAGAATGGGAGTGGAGGAGCTGCAGCCAATAATGACGATGACGATGACGATCTGGACGCAGCAGCAGCCAAATGCCGGGAGACTCTTTCCCAACGCAAAGTGCGCTTTCAGAACATGGACACCGGTACCACCAACTGTGTGTTTATACGCACACTACTCGACGATCCCGTGGAGCTGGGAAAGCACATAATCAAGGACATACAAACCACCGGCAAGTCGCAATCACGCTTTGTTCTGCGCCTGGTGCCCATTGAAGCCGTTTGCCGCGCCAACATGCAGGATATTATCAATGCCGCTGGCACACTCTTCGACAAGCATTTCCTTAAGGAGCCCACCAGCTATGGGATCATTTTCAATCATCGCTATAACCAGCAGATCAAGCGAGATGAGGTCATCCACCAGCTGGCCGATTTGGTCAACTCCAAGAACATTGGCAACAAGGTGGACCTTAAGGAGGCCAAGAAATCGATTATAGTGGAGGTGCTGCGTGGATTTTGCCTGCTCAGCGTCATTGACAACTATTTGGAGAGCAAGAAGTACAATCTGGCCGAGTTGGCCAATCCCAGCGAGAAAAAATCGAAGGATGATAAGAAGGCTTCAGGGGAGTCTAAGGATAATGAAGAGAAGGAGAAGCAACCTTTAGAAGACTCCCAGGAAGGAAAAACTGAAGATGGCGAGGATTCCAAGTCGGGGAAGAACTGACAAGAGAAAGAGAAGACTACGAAGCCATCGGAGGAAGACAAAGTCCAGGAAGAGGAGGCCTAGAATATAGAATAAGCAGTCCCTGAAACTGAAGACGGCGTGGATTCCAAGTCGAAGAATTACTAAAGAAGACAAAGTCGAGGAACCGGAGGTTTAGAGATTTCAGGAGCAAGAATATAGAATAAGCAGTCCCAGACGAGTCATTCTGCTGTGCAGACTATCCCTGAATAAAACGCTCCAGTTATTATTTTTTGCTTTTGTTAAGCATTATCCTTTCCTTTATTCCATCCAAGCTTAGCGGCTACCTTTGGAGTGTTTTCGTTTTGTGTTCTGTGCTGGCCTTAGATCCTTAGACAGGCTGTGATGCATTGCGGCTTACAGTTACGTTAGGTATTTAAAACTACGGGTATACTAGAGTAAAAGCCTCTTCTCATCAGTTGCGCTTGAGCAGCATGCCCACGGTGCCGGCAATCTTCTCGTAGGCCATGAACATCAGGGCGGCAGTGAGCACGGTTTGCAGGATCTTGGCCTCCAGGCCGCGGAACAGACCCCGAATGCCCTGGTGCTGCAGTATGCTAATCATTAGCTCCAGCGTACTGGGCGTCTTGGCTTTAGACGAGGTCGATGGCTTCGTTTCCGCCTCCTTACTGCGATGTCGCTGCTTGGTCTGCACCAGCTGCAGTGGATACGTTAGCACCGTGGCAAAGGCCTTGGCAATTGCTCCAATAAAGAAGAAACTCAGGCTGCCCATTTCACCGCCATTAAACCGCATTAAATTGCGCTTGAGCAGCTCATACATCATGAACTGCAGGGCGGGATTGGAGACCAGCATCAGAGAGGGAATCGTGCCCGACCAAAGCCCGGCGATGCCCTCCGTCTTGGCCACATACTTGAGACCCTCCAGTAGGCTCTTGTAGTGCTTGTTAACCTCGTCGGAAGTGCCGGGCACATTGCGCATGCGCAGACGCGTGTTGACCACCCAAAAGGGTGTGGTGGTCAGCACATTGATTATCCCGGCAATGCTGCCTAGGAGTAGATCCTTCAAGGCGCTGTGCTGGGCAGGAGAGCCGCCTGAAGCCACAGCCTTTAGCGCGTGGAATGTGTAAAAGTAGACAAAGTTCGAGATGCACAGGCTCTGGAGGACGGGTCCTAAGCCGCGGTATAGGGACTGGAAGCCCTCGCCTAGGACGATCTCCTTGATCACCTGCTTGGTGCTGCGCACCTTGCCGGCTTCCTCCACTGCAAAAAGAAATAAAGAAGTGTTTGTTTTTTATAGTTTGAGATTTTGTGCTTTAGAGTTGGAGATTATGGCAGCTGGAACTGCCTCTGGCGATGGCTTCTGCTGCTTAAGCGTTAATTTAATTTGTCACGCATATACTAACATTAGCTATGGGTTTAAGCCGACCTTGAACCCCCTAAATATGATAATTATTTTATTTCTGTCATTGAACTTGGAGAGACTAAAGTAAACTCTCTTTAGTAAACTCCTTTTCGGAGGTAATAAGTCAGAAATAAGTAAATATTTATGACATTAATACTTGATGTCTTTATATGCAACTTTCCCTGTCTTGTTTTGTACACTAAATATTGATTAAGTAATAAAGAATCTTATTAAAAAGTGTTGCTTTGTAAAGGTCATAAAATAAACACTTAATCTTATAGGCAGCTAAGGTTTTATGGCATTTTATGATTGTTTACTTATGCAACAAGGTTTTAATAACTTTACAGAAAAAGAAATCTTATATTTCAATCGTGTTTTATAGGCAATAAATACTGTATGCTTAATTTCGTGTGACAAAGTCCAAATGTGCACTTGCACCATTGGCAAATTGTATGATTGTTTTTATAGAAATTTTTCTTGTGAAAAATAAGCATAAAGACCAGTTAAGACTGATCTTTGAACCCTAAAAATATTAATAAATAAATCTTAATAAATCAACGTGTATCTTCTGTATATCTTTTTCTTAAAAGCCTACACCTTTTCCCTAAGTAAATATACACAATCTAAGCATAGCCTCCTCAGTAACCCAAGATCCTATCGATTTCCCCCCTTTCTATAAACAGAACCTATGAAATTGGATTAGCGACGCGGCCCACTGATTAGACCCCGGCGGCTCTTTAACATATCAATAGAAAGTTTCCAATCGCTGGAGTTTGAACTCGCCCAAAGGTAGGTATAGTAGGTGCTATCGAAGCGTGCTCCGTTATCTACGCAGACTTTAAAGATTAGTTACAGGCGGAAACCAACACTCCCCCCAACTTACACTGCAGGCGGGAACGCACCGTGTCCAGCGGATAGAAGGTGCTCATGGCAATGCAGCCGCCCTGTAAGAGAGGAATCCATGTGTCCAATTAGCATTTACCCAGTGTCATCTTGACCTTTAGCCGGCAAATATTTAAGCGGGGACACTCAACATACCGCGGCTCCGGAGACGGCGTGCACAAAGTTTTGGTAGCTCAGCACTTGGCTGAGCTTCGAGGGGGCCACCATAGTGTTTGTTTTTTGGGGGCTATACACTGGCTCGAATCTGGCTGTAGAGATCGCGACGTCCGGCGGCGTCTTCGGGCGAGTGTTTACTGACGGATCTGGCTGCCACCCGGCTTGGCTGGGTTAAAAATATGTACGCGAAGGCAGCGCAGTCGTCGCAATGCCAGCGCTCGCCGAGATTAGATTAATTTAAACGGAGCGCGGCAATGGAGGTGGGGCGTCCAACCCTTTGATTTACCCTCCTGGTTGCAATTTTACAACAAACGAATGATTCACTCACATAATTCGCGTTTTCTATTACAATTTTAAGTTGCATTTGCAAGAGTGACCGTAGTGTGATACCAAAAAGCATTAAGTATGGGAAATATACCAAAAAAATACTTAAAAGGAAAAGGATCTTAACATACCGTTATTTTATTTACAAAATAATTTTTAGAAAAGTTTTTAAATGTTTTTAGGCAACATTGTTATATTGACAATTATTTCAATGGAAACTAGTGCATTTACTCCTGTTAAAAAACACTAAAAATAAATAATATTCCTTAGTTAATGTTGTATTTATTGCTAATTATCTTTTGTAAATTTATTAGAAAGTTCCACATACCACATACCAATGAAGAATCTTTTAAGAAACACGAAAAAAAATATAATTAAAGTTGTATTTATTTCTATTATTTTTTATAAGCTTATCTACGAGTTCTCCTATTAAAATATACAAGTCGGGGATTTCTTAATATTTAATAAAATTCTTAATATTAAAAATGACTTGACCTAAAGCAACTGATCTATAAGGCACTTGTCTCTGCGGGGCTCCAGTTTAGGTTTCTTCATGAAATTCACTCCCGTTTCACTGCTACTGTTGAGTAAGTCGGCAGCTTTACGTTTTTGATTCTGTAAATTAAATATAAAAATAAATAAATAATTAAATATATAAACAAAAAAAAGAAGGTATATATAGGAAGCAAATGTTTGAATGAGAAGACTTCTTTAATGCTATACAAATTTCTTAATAACTTCGAGAAGCCGAAATTTGTATACTCTTGTAGCTCAAAAATCGATCCTAACTCGGCCAAAAATGTATTCATATCACTTCGGAAAGCTTTTCTATGCTAGTTTTTTCCAGGCTAAAAAATCTGCGTACTAAATTTTAAATTTTAAGAAATAAAATTTTTTGATCATTTTCAAGAATTTTAATGATTAACCCCTTACATTTTTTTCAAAAAATTAAAAATTTTTATTTTTTTTCTAAGATGGCTAGAAAGACGCGCCTGTTAATGCTGATCAAGAATATATATGATTTGTAGGGTCGGAAATGATTCCTTCACTGCTTTGCAGGCTTCTGACTGCAAAAGGTATAAAGTAAATGCTTACCTCATGTTCCTCCTCCGTCAGAGTGGCAAAGACAAAGTTCTTGGCCTTGGCCGTTTTCACGGAAACCGTGCCGGCCTCACCCGGCTCACCAGTCGATCCTTTGGTCAGACCCGCTGCCAGTTTGGTAAGCGTCTCCTGATCACGAACCAGAAACGAACCACGCACTGCGCTCTTCTGCTGCAGCTTGTTGCCGGTGACCGTTTTTGAGATCAGAAACGGTGAGCTCTTCTTCACCTCCATCGTGGTCTTTTTGGCCGTAATTATGTTCAGCCGACGTATAGAGCTACCTGGAGTAGAGCTGCTGTTCATCAAGGATGTAGACAAGGGCGAGGCGGCTTCCTAAAGGAATAAGAAAACTCAATAAACTATGTTTGGGTCAAGGAAATGTAAAAGTTATCCCACCGCTTTTAGACCCTTTTCCAAGAGCAATTGCTCGCGCTCGTAGCGGATTTTCCGCCAAAGATGTTCATTCTCCTCATCACCGCTGCCCTCGTTGGCCTCGCCATTCTCCGGACGCTGATCCTCCAGGCTGAAGCCGTTCTCTGCGTTCTTCCAGCGAAACTGACGCTGACGCACAGCGCCCTCTTCGTCCTCAAAGAGCATCTCCTGGATCTTGCGCACCTCCCGTATATCCTGGTCAAGCATTTTTCGACTTTCAGGAAAAACAAAATAAGTTTAAGGGAAAGATGATAACGTAATATACTCACGCATGTATTTGTCCCAGCTCTTTACGCAGCTTCTCGCGATCAAACTCGTCCTCATCGCCCAACTCTATGTCATAGGCATCCATGTTCTTCTCGTCCTCGTCGGCTGATCCCCACTCGGACTCTGAAAGCTCAGCTTCCTTCTCCACAAAGTTGGCGGCGCGCAATTTACGTTCCTTTTTGTTCATCTCCACGAGGATTTCGTTTTCCTCGGAGTCGTAGTCCACAAAGGTTTCTGGTATATCCTCTGCTGGCTCTTCATCGCTTAACTCATCCAACTCCTCCTCCTCCTCCTGGTCGCTATCTTCGTCATCGGAGAAGCCCAATTTGGCCTTTTTCTTCTGCCTTTTCTTGGTGAGTTTCTTCTGGCGCGGCTTTTCTGCTTGGTGGTCTGACTCCTTGGTCTCCTCCTCATCGCTGGATATGATTTTGTGGGCCACCACTGGGAGAAGTTGGGAATCCGGCGGCAAAAGTTCCTGCTTTTGCGTGGCAAAGGTGCCGGAACACAGGGACTCCAGCTCTTCGGGTGCCTCCTGGCTACTTGCTCCTCCCAACTGAGTCATGGGTATCTGACTGATGACAGCCGTGTCCATGGAGGGTGCAGCAGAGGAAAGCATTTGGGTCTGGGGAAACTGTCCAGAGCAAAGGTCAAGCAGCTCGTTCTCCTCATCGCTGGCTGTGCGATGATGGGTTTCCGCATCAAAGAGCTTCTGGGCAGAGAGTTGCAGTTGGGTGGCCGTGATGGGAGGAGCACCGCTAGGCTTGGGAGTTTGTAGTAGATCCAAATCATCATCATCGTCGGAGTTGTCGTCATCCTGGAAGGCCTGAATTATTCTATTTCTTTTACGTGAAGTTTGGGTCTCTTCTGCTAAGCTTTCCACATCACTCTCGCTGCTCTTTTCCTCTTCCTCAACTTCTTCATTATCCTCTTCTTGATCTTCGCCAGCAGCCTCTTCTGCTTCCTCATCCCTTAAGCCCTCGCCCACCTCTAAGATCTCTTCCTCCTCGTTTATTGTGATCTCAGCACAGCCAGGCTTGTTTTCCGGCTCGTACTCTTCCTCCTCATCCACTTCCATGTCTTCTTCCTCTTCTGCTCTTTCTTGTTCCTCTTCCATTTGCCTCTTACGCAGCTCTTCCATACGTTTCTTGTTGATCAAAGTCTTGAGCTGCTCCTGCATTTTAATGTAAGCCGCTCCCGGCTTGGGTTCTTTACCCACAGGCTCCTCATCATGCAAATGGATGTTCACCTTGGACATTTCCAGTTTGCCATGCTCAGTGGTTAGGATACTAAAAGAAGAAGAATCAAGGATTAATATAGTTTCTTTGCTAAGCTTTTAGATTACCCACTTGACAGTCTCCAGAGTCTTGTGCTTTTTGGCCTCGCGGGTCTTCATCAGACGCTGCAGCAAATCATCCACTCCAGTTGGTTTCTTGGCAAACATATCACCCGTTTCGAGGTCTATTACCATGTTGGCATCACCCTTCAGCGAGGGACTCACATCCGTGCTCTTTTCGATCTTTAGCCGACGAATTACTTCGCTGATCTTAGGGGTTGCCGGCTTGGAGGGCGGGGTTATGTTGATAGAGCTCAAGTCCAGTTTGGGCAGCTCTACCACCTCAGTAACAAGGCGTACCTTAGCGGGAGATGTTTGATCACCTTGCTGAGGGATTTCCCTCAAACCTGCAGCAGCTGAGGTGGAAGCAAGGGGTTCTGCTTCTGCGAGAGCATTCTCCTCCATTGGTTGGATGGCTAGCTCTTCTGGCTGCTCCTTGGGTTCAGCTTGGATCTCCTCTACATCATCCATAACACCTTGTTTGTCTTTAAACTCCACTTGAGGTTCTTCTTCATCTTTCTCTGGTTCCGAATCCTCTTCCTCTTCCGGCTCGGATTCGGATTTGAAAAACTCCGTGGCCTCCTGGGCTCGCGCCTCCATTAGCTTCCTTTAAGAATAATGGTTATAAGTTAAGTTTTATATTTCCTTTGTTAATAACCTACGCAAATGCCTCCAAGTCCTCGCTGGCCATGCGCAACCCCACCGACTTCCTAGGCTGCTTGTTGGGCATGGGACTGCCGCCGGCCAAGGCGGTAGCCAGAGGCGCATTTATGGTTCGTCGAGCGAGAAACTCCTTCAGCGTCCTGGGCTTCGGCTGGTGGTAAGGCACAGTGATATGAGCCTCGCGGTGCAGACGTTGTTGCTCACTTTGGATGGCCTGCATGCCCTCTAAAGCTTTCTTAGCTGATTCCTGAAGAAGAATGTTCAGGGATAAGAATATATTTTAAAGGGAAATTTGATGGGTAAACTCACGCGCACAACTTTTGGTTTCTTTGGTTTTCCAGCGGCTGGTTCTTGCTTTTCTGCTGCCTTCTCTGGACTGCTCACCTCCGGTTCGGATTCTGAGTCCACCAAACCCTTGAGTTTGCTAGTCACGGGACTGGTTTCTTGGTCACTCATGTCTTTGTGGTCCTCCTGTTCACTATTACTGTCCATTCGCTGCTTATTTTTCTTTGTTTTCTTGGAGGGTTTCTCCCTATTTTCATCCTGCTCCTGGACTTCCTCCTCATCCAAATTTTCCGATTTTTTCTTGGCCACCTTTTTGGGCTTTTTTTTATGAGGTTTCAGTTCCTCTGACTCGGAATCCGTGTCCACCAAGCCCTTAAGTTTGTTATTTGGGTTTTTCTTGGGTGGAGTCTCTGGATCCGGCTTCATTTCCTCATCCTTTTGTGGCTCCTCTTCACTGTCCGTGTCTATGATGGCTGATATTTTCTTTTTGGGCTTGGTAGCCACTGCATCTTCCTTAGCTTCCTCTTCATCGCTCCGCTGCTCCAGCTCTGGCTCCTTATTCGTAGCACCCGCTACCTCCATTTCCTCCTCTCCATCGTCGCTGAGCAGTCTCCTCTGGCGCCTGGCCTTTGGAGAGATTTTCCTTGATATATCTTCGCTTTCGCTATCGTCCGACATCATCAAACTTTTGGCGCAAAGAGTGTTGAAAATCGCGGGAGCCAAATCAGCTGTTCCAAGGCAGCAAAAACATCGATAGTTGTTATCGCCTGACTGGACCAGGAGGTTCAAGTCTTTGATGAAAAAGTGAGAAACTTTGCTCTGAAAATAACGTAATAAACACTAACAGAAAAACTATACAAATTACAAAAATTAAAATTAAAATCCTTATTAATTAATAATGAAATGGAGATATTTTTTGTAATTAATGCTTTTTATTTTAAATTTAAAATTAAAAAAAAAAAAATGTATAACTATGTTGATTAATAAACAAAATTTAACCTAATAAAAAAATACACAAAAGGCTTTTCGAATTGAAATTATGGCTGTTTGGACTGTTATAGTTTTTTAACTTTGACCAAAGAAACTTTTAACTTTTGGACTATTAAACATCAATGCTTTAAAAACAATGATTATTTATTTGTATAAACTTTGTCTATCTATGTATTAATCTATTAATTTAGTCAAATCTGCAGACCATTACAAAGACTGTTTAAATATCTATTTTTATCTCAAGTTAAAGTCTCTCGGCAGGTGGACCCGTAAACTATCAAATGTACATGATTATTTAAATGGAAATCAAACAGCGTGAACGAGTCTAAGACAGCAACTTAATCAGCAGCAACTTATTGCGGGCCCCGCAGCAACCTTTCCACAAGTACAGCAATCGAAAGTAATCGCCCAACGGATTTGCATACATCTTCAGCACAGGTAGGTGTGTGTATGTCTGTGTTAGCGTTTCACCTGCTGCCGTTGTTGGAAGGCCGCCTAAAGTTGATTAGACCAGCGAATTTTTATTGTTGCAATTGCTTTGATTTTGTCTAGATGGATGAATGGAAATTAAGTTCAAAATATATTATTTGTAATAGAGTTTACTTATTATTCACAGCTTTTTGGATGAACATTAACTTAATTATTATGTTTTTTAATATAAGAAACGTTTTATATAATATAACAAACATTTTTTTCTGGGTGAACCGACCCCATAAATCACTATATTCTTCACTAAAGCTGAGTCATTTTAGAAATGTCCGTGGTTGTTTTCCGGGTCGTACTCTTTATTCTCATCCACATCCATGTCATCTTCATCGGCTAGCCCCTTCTGTTCCTCTTCCTTTTGCATTTTACGTAGCTTTTCTATACGTTTTTTGGTCAGAGTCATGAAGTACTCCTGCATTTTGGTATGAATCCTGAAAGAATCCTCCTCCTTTTGCATTTTATGCAGCTTTTCCATACGTTTTGTGGTCAGAGTCATGAAGTACTCCTGCATTTTGGTATGAATCCTGAAAGAATCCTTTTCCTTTTGCATTTTACGCAGCTTTTCCATACGTTTTTTGGTCAGAGTCATGAAGTACTCCTGCATTTTGAAAGAAGCTTGGTCTTGGATCTCATCCACATCATCCATAACACCTGGATTGCCTTCTTCTCCAGAATGCTCTGGTGCGCTTTCTTCCTCCTCTTCCGACTCGGAGTCGGATTTCAAAAACTCCATGGCCTCCATTAGATTCCTTTAAAGTAAAGGTTATAAAAGGGCTTAATTTTTCCCTAAGTCTTAACTTACACAAAAGCTTTTAAATCCTTGAGCAGCTCCACCACATTAGTAACAAGACGTACCTTAGCGGGAGATGTTTGATCACCTTGCAGTGGGATTTCCCTCCCACCTGCAGCAGTGGAGGTGGAAGCAAGGGGTTCTTCTGCGAGAGCATCCTCCGCCATTGGTTGGTTGGCTAGCTCTTCTGGCTGCCCCTTGGGTTCAGCTTGGATCTCATCCACATCATCCATAACACCTGGATTGCCTTTCAACTCCAAGTGAGGTTCTTCTCTCAGGGTGCTCTGGTTCCGCGAATCCTCCTCCTCTTCCGGCTCGAGTTCGAAAATTGCGTTCGACCTTTGCCGCAGAGTGTTGAAAATCGCGAGAGTTAAATCAGCTGTTTCTTGGCAGTAAAAACATCGATAACAGGCGAGTTTTTTTTTAGAAATATCCGGAGGAAAGAAATTTTATATCAATTTTTTTAAAATTTAATTTGAATTTAATAAGTTTTTGAGTTTTTTCCAAATTTGATTATGGGTTACAATGGGTTAAAATGATTAAAAATTGGCCGAAAATTAAATTTTTTATATCTTTATAATATTTATTATGATATTTTAAATGGGTTCCTCTGGTAAAAAATTAAGCTAAGCCCAAGTTAGCTTTCTTTCTTGTTTTTATTTCCTTTTAAATCAATTATGAACCTATTTTTTCACACCTCTTTAGAATATCAATTTTTTTCTCCGTGTTTTGCTGCTTTAACTACAGCTACTGGCTGCTGCGATGCTTTCTCCGCATCTCTTTCTTGCGCCCGGGCATTTCTCTTTCACAGTTTAGTGGCTGCGAAGCTGGAGCTGTGGTCTTTCGGCCGAGGGTCATTAAGTAACCCAGCGGCTGCCGAGCGTTGCCTAATGATAGCCACCAGCCCCCCTCCATACCCTGCGGACTCACATGTGTGTGTAGATATATATATCTGGCCATATATAAATAGCATTAAAATGCAATTATAAATGGCTCCAAAAAACGCATCCAATCCGCCAACCATTAACCCCGCTTTAGACCTTAATATTCAATAAATGCCGATTTCTCGGCTCTCTGAATGAAAGCAAAAGGCAAAAGCCTAAAAGAGCCAAAACACCGAAACCAAACCGTTTTAATGGGTGTCAAATTCCAGCAACTTTTCACTTTACAAGCACCAATGATCGCGCTCACTATTCTGAGATCACACAGTCGGCGATCGCCTTCAATTTGATTAATGCATTTTACAGAAGAAAAAAATATTATACTTTTGGGACAATGTTTCACCTTGCCAAAGCGTTGCGCAACGGAGATTCCAAGCCACAACAAAGCCTGGTGTGTTATCCAACCTTAGAAAGATCCGAAGAAAGCACCACACACAGATGGCAATAATTTACGAATCTTATGGTTTCCGCTATGCGAAATTTATAATATATTCGCAGAGCCAATCGCAGCATGGGCTTAATCGATCGAGAAATAAACGGGGAAGCTTGCGAACTTTGAATGCTCTTTCTTTTAGAGAGAAATTTGGGATTTCATTATAGATTTTTAGGGGTTTTTTAAAGTAGCAAGTTTAAGAGCATATAAAACTTTGAATTTAATCTATGATCTATAATTTAATAATTTGTTTACCCATTTATATTTTATTAACTGCTAAAGTTAGGTCATTTCTCATGGTACAACATTCCCTTAGACTTATCTTCTTGTAAAATATATTAACAACAAATTATTACATCACTTCCCCTTACTATAAATATATAATTTCCTTAAATAAAGCTTTCATCAATTGGTAGCTAAACGCTACCTGGATTAAATCATGATATCCTATCTTATGGCCTATGAACTAGGCGCTATTTTGTGGCTTTAAGCTTCAGCTAGCGCACCAATTAGCATATATATATAAAAAAAAAACAAATCTTGGTTCACAATTTCTCTTTCATTTGGCGAAAATAAAATAAAAACAGTTACCTGACTGCCTTTAGTCGAGTATCTGAGTATCTCGACTCGGGCATCTTTTCTTTTGGTATCTGTAGCAGAGATTTGGCTTTTGGCCACTTACGGTATTTCTGCGCCTTGTTGTCGCTGTCGCTACCTAATTTGCATACGCACAACTGAATATTACTATATATATATCTATATATATATATCTCTGTAGCTGACTGTAAGCTTCGAAACGAAAGTGAAAACCTTCGAGTCTCGAGTGTGTGCTAAACGAAGAGTCTAACCGAAAGATACACATAATTTCCAACTGTCTTCAATCAATATTGATTCGTGTATCGAAATTTTGTGGGAATTCGAAATGGGACTACGATTAAAAAAGCAAATAAAGATTAAAGCTTTTTGTTAAACCTTTTTTCTTTAGAAAACTATTTTTAAAAAGATCTTTTCTTTTTTGGCAAGGCTGAATTAAGTGAGTGAGTGAGTGGCTTATGCAATCGAGCGGACTTAAGACCTTTCAACACGCCTTCAAACTGCAGCTCAAGTGGAGATCCGGAGTTGCAGTTTCATGCTGAAGTTTATTTAGCAGCTAAACTCTCGACTCTGTCTTTAGGAATTAAATATATATCATCCATAAGAGATTATGGGTTTTGTAATGTACTCAGAAAAATAAGGTAAAAGTAAGCCCTAATAAAATACAAGAAATTCTGAGAGAGACTGCCTTTGAACTTGAGATTTCAGGCAGCAGAAAATTACAGTACATACTTTTCCCCTATCAAGTCACCTTTTATTTATTTAAAATATATTATTACCTTGATGGCTCCATATAATATTATTATTTAACACATTTTTTCTCTGGTTTTCCAGTGTAGCCTAGCTGTTCCTTGGCCCCAGACACGCCTTTGGCTGTGTCTGCGTCTGCGTCTGAGTCTGGCTTTTGGCTGTCCAATTGAGATTTCTTGCCGTTTTGCTTTTGGCTTCTTTGGCTTTTTGGCGAGTGAAAGTGATATATGGCGCATGACTCAGGCTGTGTCCATGCTCGGCTCTCCGCTGCGACCACTCGACTCCCATCCCATCCGATCCGACCTCATCCCGGCTTCAAAGTCATATGCATAAAATAATAATTAAGCGCCATTTATGCGGCAGAAGTCGAAGAAAACATGGCGAAAAAAGGGCGCAGCAGCCATCAAGCGAGGACCGAAACCAAAGACCAAATCAATTGACATGTTTTGTAGAAACACTGAGAGAAATTTAAGCTGTATTACAGCTAACAATGCCTAAGGGAAATGTGTATAGAAAGTATAAAATGATGTAAAAACTAAGGAATTTAATAAATAAATACTGAGAATCCTTATTTACCCTATTTTTTAAATTACATAGCTTCATTTTGAATACTACAATTATTTTAAAAACATAAGAAGGTTTGAAAAACAGTATCAGCAAGGCATCAAGACTATATATTTCTAATAAATATCTAATCTCAATCCTAAATAAGTTAATGAGTCAACTTAACACTTTCTGCCTTCCAATGTCCCAAATGGTGGAGACATTATTCAGCGGCAGGAAAATTATTTAATGGCCAACCAAGCCAAATCGTAGCTCAGCCCCTTCACCTCACTTTTTGGCTAATATACATACATACACCTGAATAGTCAGTCAGGGACCTAGGTTCATTGTCTTTATAAATGTGATTTAGGGCCGGCGACAGACAGACAGACAGACAGACAGGCCAACGGAAAAGCCAGTTACAGCCAAGTGAACAATAACAAGAAAAAGAGCGAGTAAAGCCAGCAAATTGCGGCCCAGCTAAAGGCGCTGACAAAAGAAATGGAAAGTAAAAAGTGTGGAGTTGTTCCATTGAGCTCGATGACCGGGCAACGGGGTTGCAGCTCCACAACTCCGGCCGGAGTTCGACTTGCATAATGATTGACATTGTTTTGTCCATGATAATTTGTTTATAAACAATAAGAGTCCGGATTGCGGTCCGTTATAACTGCAAAATGCGGGGACAACAACTGGTTTTTCTTTATCTTTATCTTCTCATAAATGAAACAAAAATTAACTGAATGAACCCGGGTTTATTTTTTATTATTGCCACCGCCACTATGATGATGATTTCGAAGCTGGGGAGTGAAGCGGTGCAGAGGAGGAGTAGCTGTTGGCCACTGGGTGACGACGTCGCGACGTTAAATGGAGACATTTTTCATGCAAGTGGTAAACACACTTTGCCGCTGCTGATAAATATTTAAATGATTTTGTTTTTATACAATTAGTGGTAGAGTATGAGGGAAAGAAAAGTACTAGTTTTTATAACATTTGGGAAGGAAGAAAGGTGTTTTTTGTGAACTCAAAGGATCATTTTATGGTGTTTGTTGGTGAAAGAAGTTCTTATTTTAATTCTAGATTACAAATTAAAAGAGTTATATATCTGTTTTTATTTAAATTCCGTAATTAATGCAGAAACTCTACAATATTTTATACCATTTCAAGTCGCTTTAGTATCTCTAGAGAGGTAAAGATTCTCTAAATTATTTACGATAAATATAACTTAAAATCCTTCTTCAAAACCTCATAGACTTGTTAATATATTGTAAGCCCCACCTTAATTAATTTTATTTTAATTAAATTGTGAAATTCCAAGCCAGGGCAACCTCAACATTTCACTTTCTCCAACTAAGATTACATCAGAGCCCCAAAAAACCATTGCCTTTCCCAACTGATCTCGGTGGGCACTCAGAAGTGCCTTAATTTTCTAGAAAGAGGGGACAAAAACAAACCGAAACCGAAGCAGAAACCGAAAAACCAAGGCAGAAACAGAAACAAATACAGAAACCAGCAGCAGTTTCTGGGCCTGCCCACGAGCTCGAGTGCGTCAGCGAGTTGGATCACGGCTCAATTAGCATGCCAGGCACGTCCCTGACCCAATTCCAGAGTTGGTAACTGAGCTCCAGTGTAACCCGGCATGCTGGCTGCTTATATCAAATGCACGCATTTGCAGAGGATCTACGTCATTGGGCCACGGCGTGTGATTCACCCCGGATCCGCATCCAAATACAGTCCATGGCATGGCTTGAAATCGAAACCCTAACTTTCGATTTCTTTCGATGTCATCGCTTGGGCAGCCAAGGTGCGTATGCGAATGAAAGTTCATCATCGCCGCACCGAGATTACTTTCTTGGGCTCGGCCCAGTGACTCTGGCCAATTGTCGGAGATAGATCTCTATATATCTCTCTCCGATTTGGGCATTTCTACTATATCATATTTGTTATTTTTGGGGGTAAACATTTTTGTGCCATTTCATCATCGGAAATTGGCTGGACGCGGACCACAAAGAAAGATCTCAAACTGTGCAAATGACAAATTTACACTTCAAATTGATCAAATTTGTTGGCAAGAAAATTGGCACAAAGTTGTTAGCTTTTACTTCTGTTTGGGATTGTGCAATGTGGAAGGCCCAAGGCGATTGTTGTTGAAAATTGGGCTAAAATCATTAAATGGAGTTTGGTTTAACAATTTTTAATAAGGTTTAATGGCGATATTTTTCTTGGCACTCGCCATAATTTTTTTGAATTAGGGAATTAATGGAAGTTATGATGGATTTTCAGTAATTTTCTAGGGTTAATTAGGGTTTGTTTCATTGATTTAAGAAATACGATATTTTGTTATTACTTCTATTTTAATTTACTAACAGAAATACTATATATATTTTATAAAATTTATATTCCAATTTCATTTTTGACCCATTTATAATTAATTTTTACATTTCTTTATAATAAAAAATGTTATATCTGGAATTTAACTATTCAATTTACATAAATATAAACAATACAACCCAAAATCCTTGCAAAAACTTTCACAATATTTATTCTGAAAACTGTTTGGAATACTAATTACCCCAAGACAATGCCTAAAAACCTTATTGATTGATTTATTTTAAACGTATTTCCCCAAGAAAAACAAAAGACTTAGGCAACGAACTTGACTAAAATTATTCAATTAAAAAGTGGCGTGGGGTAAAATGCCTCTGTATAGCATTCTCATTTTAATTTTTTTGCCCTGAAAAGAAACAAAAGACTGTTGACTTGATAAACTAATTAAATTTATTTACGCTAAAGCAAACACAAAGGTCAAACAAAAGGTGGCCCGCCTTCCCTCTAAGCCTTTTCGTTAGTGTTTTGCTGTGACAATTCCGTTAACGCTTTTTGGGCAGAGCCCCGCCAAGTGTGCGAGCATTATGTCATTAGGGATTGCATAAGCTTTCATAATTTAATTTTCCAATGCATTGGCCAGAATAACAAGCGTCGCGTCGCGTCGCCTCGCCAAGAGCCCCGTTAGCTGAGTCAGAGCCGGACTCAAGCGAATGCGAACCCTTTTCGAATAACAATCGAAATTAGGCAATCGTTGAGGTAGCCCGACGTCACCAGTTACCTTGACACCGAGCGGCAAGCAAGTAGCTTGCCAAAAAAAAATACTCCACAAACTAAAAGAGAAACAAGGCGCCCGCAGAAAGCGGCCTGAAATGAAAAGTTGCCCCGGCCTAACAAGTTTCGGGCCAAAAAAAAAAATAGCGCTGGCAGAGAAGAATAGCACCGAAAACGGCATATTTTGCATTCGGAGAGCCAACAATTTCCACTCTCTTTCTCTCTCTCTTGAAGACTCTCTGCAGCCGAGTCTTCGCTCGAGCGGAGCCAGTGGTAAAGGGGTCAAAACTTTCACGCGATATAAAATCTTGGTTAGCAATACGGCCGGGCCGCATTTTCATTTCAACTCTGTGTGCGACGAGTTGTCTTTAGTTTCCACTACTCCGAGCTCCGAGTGCGTCCTGTTTTAGCTCTAGCTCCGCGTAAACGCAGCGCGTCCCTTCGCTCCGTCACGATCGCAGTGCCCAGAATAATATAATATTAATAATAATAATATATATATATAAATATTCGGTTAAAAACAAGCGAGCAACTCGAGCAACTTGCTCTTGGTTCCACATTTGTGCATCGAACAGATCCAAGATCCCAGATTCCAGTGGAGAGTTATCAGCTCCAACGTGATCACGCCGCTGTGCCATCGACTTCAGCTTAAAAAGGGATTAACCAATATACCCAAATGACCAGGATATACACTGCCTGAAGGTAAGAAAGTGTGACGAATGGATGTGAAAATTATGAGGGAGCTCAGGTTAGGCTATTACCAGGTGATTAAGCCAAGCTAAAAGATTTATGTGAACGGATTAGAGGGCCACAGGACATTGGATATTAAAACTTAGGGTTAAAAGTGTAACAAAAGAAATGTTAGAAAGGAAATCAAAGTTTAAAATTAAATAAAAAGTTAATTCAAAGCTATTTTGAAATTTTAATGTGATTGCTTTTAAAAAAGATAACATTTTTCTATATGAAACCCTTTTAACTTATTAAAACTCTTCAAGAAAACAATAATTTTCTTCAAGAAATACTTTAAATTTACGTATAAAATCCACTAATATTTACCCCAAATTCAGTAGCTGCCTTAATTAAAGCTTCTTTATCCGGAATCCATTTAAATATCTAAACCACATCCAGTTAATTCCCGCTGCATGTAATTACTATTTAAAAACAAACTCTCATTAAGTACAAACCATTTATGGCCCCCACTCCAGACCGATTTAATGAACAGTCTTAGCCATAACCCACATAACCGTTCTTGGAGACTAGCCTAAAGTCTGCCTGCCCAGATTATAGCTTATAGCTTACGGAGATAGTTCTTCGATAATCGAAAAACTAGACTCAACCCACAGTTCCATTTGCCCACAAAAGCGTTGCAATCACCTTGGCCAAAACAGGGAGAGAGAGAGAAAAAAAACTCAGAGTGCCTCGTAAATGTTTGTAATTTTCGTGAAAAGAGTTGCTGAAGAAAGCCGAAACGCACAGCCAACTTTCGTCGTCGTGCATTATGCGGAAATATAACTATTATTAATAATAGTTAAAGAGCTGAGCCGAGCTGTGCTGCCTGCTGAGGCGCGAAGCTAAGCCAGAGCTGCGGAAGATATGTGGAACCCTTGGCTCATTAAGCTTAATTTGGATTTGCATACTCACAGCCTCCAATTGGCCATAGCCGGAGTTGGACTTGGAGCTGCCACCCACTGGAAACGAGATTCGAGACGAGACCCCCCTCTCGACTTGGAGTGGCTGCAGTTTCGGTTGCCGGCTCTGGTTCTGTGTGTCTCATGTGGCTGCCGCTGCCGCTGCTGCTGCTGCTGGTGAAATTTCATCGCGTTTCGCGCGAATGAAAGTCTGAAATTAGCCTGTGCCGCTTCTCATTCCAGCCAAGTCGCACTCGCACTGCAGTTGCAGGCAGCCAGCAACATACACACATGTCTGGCAGCTTCTCTTTCAGTTTGCTGTGTGTTTGATTAATATTGCGAATTGCTTTGTTCAAAAACTGCTCCACTTTGGCCAGGCGCATGAAAACAATTTCGCTCGGCACTCCGATCTGCGATCTGTACTTACTTTCGTGTGTGCGAAATTACACTGAGGGAAATGGGCACTTCACTTTATATTTAGGATTTTAGCCAGCTTAAAAATATAGGTTTTCTATCATTTTTAAGGGCGAAAATTAAATGCAGTTCTTTTTAACTTTAAGACAACTTTAAAGAACGATTTTTTGTTGGGTTATTTTATGTATCTTATCCTTTCTAAATTGTATATCTCACTTCTTAATTTTCCATTCGTTGTGTGTAGTTATTTCCCCAAGTGTAGATCTTAGTGCCTCATGAAGCACGCGCGCCAAATGGGTTGCATTGCTCATACGCCGTGTGTGCCTGTGCCAGTGGCTGCGGTGCAATGTCATCGCTGCCCAAACATAGCGCCCGGCGATACTTTTAATTGATTCCCCAATACACACACACACACACACACACTGCAGACTCCAACACACACAGACATGCTCCTAGAGAAAGAAGCCGAGCCACTTGTTGCAAAGTAATTACTGGTTTCTCGCTCTTGGCTCAATCTCAATCGCAAGCTGCAAGACTGTTGCAGACAAAGTCGAGCTGGCTCAGCGACTTGGCGACAATTTCAAATTAACGGCAATTGTCTCGCCGCCTTGTGCAATTTTCACGCAGTTTTTCATGGCAGCGTGAAAATGTCAACTAACAACGGGATGGCAAGAAAGAAAAGTAAAGAAAGAAAAGCGACCGAATGAACGAACGAACCGAACTTTCATTGGCAGTCGAAGGAGTAAAAAAAAAACCAAGAATTTTTATTAAATGTCAAGAAAAAGAATGATACTTAACTCTTTTAAATCTTCTATAAATATTCAAGCTTGAGCTTTCATTTTCTAGAAAAGAGCTCCTCCCATAAATAATGCCTAATGACACCGCAGAGCTTACTTCAACCATTAATCTCATTGTAATTGTCTAAATAATTCAATTCACTTGTAACTGTCTCAGATTTCCATCCATTTCACTTGGTTAGCTCTCCTGTTAAGCCTCATTTTTCGGCTTGTTCACCACAGAAACTCATTTGGCACCCGTCGCCGTCACCACTCGGCAAGCCAAGCTCTTCATTAGACGCAATCAATGTTGCTTTGAAATTATCATGGAAATCATGGAAAATCAGTCAAATCATAGGATCTATTCGTATTTCGATTCGTTTGTGATTGAGCCGCAGCGGCGGAATCACTTGAAAATCCGAGCACCGCAAACGAATTGAAACGAAACGAAACATCTCAAGTAGCCTTTCGAGTGTGGATGCATTGCTTTTGAAGAAGAAAAGAAATGAAAACCACTTTCTTTGCATGCATGCCACAAGGTACGCCAACACCACCACCAACCAAGCAATTTGCTTGTGGAGCTCCAAGCTGGAGGTGGAGCTGGGGAGGAGAGGAGCGATCGGGAGGGATCGGTGGCAGGCAAGCGGAACAGGCCGCTCCGTGGCGACAGCCGCCACAGCCACGAAATTGGGTCACTAATTATTTCAGAGCAAAATGCAACCGGCTTTGGCTTCGCCTCGGCAATTGTATGTGCCTCTGCAGGGAGAGAAAAAGATGGGGAATTTGTTGGGTTTCAAATTTTTTATAAAATTGAGAAGATAGAGAGTTAAATTATAAATAATAAATAAAGGATTTATTTTGGGCACAAAACAACGTTAAAGTTTCGAATAAATAATTAGTTTAAAATCATTTTAAAAAAGGTTCCACATGTCTTTTAAATATTCTTTTATGTTTATGATATTTTCGCTCCTATTTAATTATACATTTAATTTTAAATTCCAACAAATAAATATTAAATATGAATTGTATGTTAATATGCAACTCCTTTTTGTTGCCTTGACTTTTTTCTCCCTGTGCATCTTTTTTGTTGCGGCCTCGTCGTGGCTTCGGCTAACGATGCGTTGCAAGCTTGCCAGCTTGCAAGTTGCAAGTTGCAACTGGAGGCACCTTTTTTTCGCTTCCCCTCCTCTTTCTTTTGTTGTCTCCGCTTTGCTTTCTTTCACCTTTCGCCGTCGTTCTTTCTTCGCCGATCTTTCCCCGCCTTAACCGAACTGAACTCAACTGGAACTTGTAACTGGACTTGGGCAGAAAGTGCAAGCCCTTGAGTTTTTACTTTCGTTGGGCTTCGCAGTTAAGACCAAAACCAGTTCTGGCGGCCATTCAATGGCATTAACGATCAGCGATCAACGGAGCCCCGATCTCCGATCCTAAATAAAAGCCCCGTTGCAATTGGAGTCTTTCTTAAGCGAATTTCGCGTTTTACCGTTAAAAAAGAAATGGAAAGTAGAAATGGCCAACGGAAAAGGTTGGAGTCTCTGTTTTTATTTTTTTTCTTATTTTTGTGAATTATGTTAATTGTCTTGTTTCGTTTTGTTATCCGCATCTGCATCTCCTGATCCTGCCACTAACGGCACTTTTTGGGTCTCAACGCACTAATGATCAGCGATCAAAGGGGGTTGCATTTGCAGGTAGGAAATTACGGAAGTGGTAAGCCAAAAAAAAAGGGGGAATTCTTGTGAGGTTTTCTTGTTTTTGGTAGAATATGAGAGGTTATGGTTCACTGAAAACTGTGAATTTATGAGAGGTTTTTAAGGCAATAATTATATAGAAAATAAAAAAGGTAATATACTTTAATATCTGGTTGAAAGATCTCACAATTTTGTAAGATTTTGAAGGTAAAATGTAAAGCAATTAAAAACTACAATAATATCAAATATTTTGACCATATACTACCTATATCTTTATGTACTTTAAATCTGATAGATTTCAAAATAATGTTATGATCCACAAAAGAGACAATATTATACAAATTCTTACCTAAAGAGCTCTGAAATTTGTTAATTTCCATTTAAACAACCCAAAATGTTAATAAAAACACCCCAAAAATGTCATAAATAAAATATATACCCAAAAACCATTTTCTTGAACTCCATTTTGCACTTCCCTTGCCATGATTGCAATTTCCTCAATTAACATTCCCCACATTCACGCCCCGGCCTTCAGCCCGCTGTGTGTGTGCGCCAGATCAGTATGCAAATTGCCGGCGAGGCCCATTTCTAATTTCACTTTCCCTATTTTGCGATAAATTGCGTTATCATTTTGCACGCACATGCGGGGCAAAAAGGAGATTTAGCAACAAACGGCAACCAGGTGAATGGAATGGAATGCCGTTGCCGAGATATGTGAGGTGAGGCGAGAAGCGAAGGGAAGTTGCCACAATTTACTTTCATTTGCTGCGACACAACCGCCGCCTGGGGGCAAGTCTGCAGGCTGCGGGCGCCAGGCTTATCGCCAAAGTCGGGTTAATTGTCGCCTGGTCGCCTTGTCGCCAAAAATGTGGAGCGTAGAAAATAAATTGTTTGCTCTTATTTACATAATGTGTGGCTGAGCTTATCGGATGAAACAAAGAAAAAAACCTGCGGGTTCTGTTTACTTTAGAGGCAAGTGGGCGAGTTCGTTGCCTAAGTCTTTTGTTTTTTTAAGAAAAGAAAAGTGAAAATGTTTAAAAAAAATATATAAAAGTGGGCTAAAGCATGTCTAAAAAATATAAACAATATTATTTTTATTTATTTTATTTAAAACATGTTTTAAAAATAAATCAAAATTCCTTGAAATAGGTTAAAAGTTTATAAAATCAACTTAAAACTAACTTTATTATAAAAAT